AAAATGGTCAAATTAATTTATGTACATTCGACATTATTATTGCAAACCATTTCTCTATGGGTATTTACAAATATCATTTATATTGTATATATTTTATCATCTATTTTCTTTTCACTTTGGTTAAATTCAGTTATTGTCAAGGGTAATCGAAAAAACGGTATATTTGTTCTTTCCATTTTCTGATTTCCATTTGTGCCAAATCGAACCGATTAGCATTGGTCATACTATACGAAAATACTTGGGATACGTTTTAAAGAAGTTTTAAAAAAAAAAAAACATAAAATGAGTTTGCTTTCTTTGTGGAGATTTTGGTAATGAATTAAACGTTCGTTTTCGTCTGCATAGTAAACTGCACTAATAATTTCCAGTAATATTAGGCTACGAAATTCCAGCAACATTCCTCAGAAAAATCAAAAGCAATGAAAATTGCCATAGTGATAATTGAGCTAAATTGCACTACATAATTGGATCCCGTGGAGAATGTCTAGAGTTAATGGCATGAAATGTTTTGAAAATAAAAACCACTTTGAATGAATTCTGTAAACCTGCCAGGGCGTTCTGCAATGGGTACCTAACAACTACTCGGATGAAAAGAGGTTAACATTTTTTTTTTATTGTGCTTGCAGGTTGCATCCAGTTTTTCTTATCTACTGGCTGCTGGAAGTAAAGATATTTTTAAACTGTCATCTCAAGTCGTTGCGGTTTTAGAAGAACGAAATTAAATTTACCCTTTTCCCTGTGAGCATATAGCCTACTGTAGGTGTTACAAGAATGCGCTCGGCTCCCGAGTTGTTGGAACGGGTTCAGGGCAGTTCTTCCCAGCTCGGCCCTGCCAGATGTATGCCCCGGTGCACAGAGAGACTTGTGAAAGACGCTGCAGATGGGACCCGGTGCGGTGCCCCGGTGGAGACAGTGACATCCTGTCACTGTTGCAGAGAGGTGTTTGTGATTTTTAAATGATGGCTGGTGAAGGTGACTAATCCATGCAGTTGTATTCACGCGTGGGGGAAGGCACAGTTGGGTTGCACTTTTTTTCCCCCATTTAATGAGATCAGCGGTCAGAATGGCGCTCATTGGACGGGTTTAATTTCCTCGAAAGGGGAAGAGCGTGATAGAAAAAAAAAGAGATTTTTAAGTAAATGAATAAAATCGTAGTGGTTAGCACACAGAGAAATGAAAGGTTCTCTCCCATAACGTATGAAGGAAGCACTGTTAATCGTGTAGAGATGACTTGTCTTCATCTTACTAGGTTCTATTACTGATCGGAATTTTAAGTTATTTTGCATCTTATCTGGAATTGTACGAATTGTATGGCAGCTCGCTTTGCACCTCGAACTTCTTCAAGCAAGGGTTTTTAATTTTACAACCGCTAAGACCAAAACAGATCAGGACAATATTTAAGGCAGAGCATCAGGTAAAGGGGCTCCAGTGTTCGCTACCTGAAATAATCAATAGCAGACAGGAGATTTCATCATCCCTGTTGTTCAGGACTGCCCGAGGTGCTGCCCTCCAGGCGTAAGCGCGCACCCTGTGAATTCTTGCCTGGCGTGGGCAACCACACCCCATTTCAAACGATCACCTCCTACACACTATTGAAACTATCTCGTTTTAACGGCGGAGGCAAATTATTTGTTCACTGAGTCATTTAGAGATCACTTGAAATTAAAAACGGACACCGTGTAGCTCTAAAGGATCACAATTGGCCATTCCTAACCTACAGTAATTGCTAAAATTCCTCAGATTGATCAAACTCACATGTTCCTGATCTTCTGAAATATACTGATTTAAGGGTGACCTATCAGACCTGCTGGGCTGTAGCTCTCCAGAACCAATGTTGGCCACACCTGTTCTACTGTACATCATGATTCTTAACACAACAGTAAGCATCTCGCCTTCCACTGGATTGGATGGCAAGCTCTTAATGCAGGCTTTAAGCCTTCATTTTTGACACAATAATAATCGACCCTCAGCTGCTTAAAGATGTTCAAAGCAAAAGTTATCAAAATAGGTTTTTTTTAAGTTACCTGCTGTGGTTTTAAAGCATTAATATGATTGAAATAAATGTAAGAGAATGTGATTAAATATCCATTTTTCCATTTTTGTCCATTACCTGTTTGTCCTCTTTAACCTGAGCCTTTTTGTCATATTTTGAAAGATTATGTACCGCATTTACGATGGTGTTGGACAGAATTGTTTTGGAGAGAACAGAGGAAGGTGTTCAGCCTAAATCTCAAGAAGTGTGGAAAAATCTGTATGTTTCATTATGTTGGAGAAAGGAGCAGAAAATCTTAAAATTCAAAAAGATAAAAACATCATCGAAGTATAAATATTTATATTAATCGGCAGCCTCAAGAGAACTGGTATATGACACAGCAAGTACTTTAAATGGGACCACCAACAATGAGACAATACTGAGAAGAGAGATTGTGAGCAGTCATAAATGTTCATTGTAAATTGCCATCCCTTCCCTCAGCAAGGAAAAATACAGAGTTTAAAGCACAAAAGATTAAAATGTGTGTTCTTTCACTTGAGACCAATTGCACCATGGACTGTCAATAGAAAAGTATATAAAATGTCCTTTAAAAATCTGTAGTTTTTAAAATAGTGTATTTGATTTGTTGAAACAATATAAACTTAATTTGGCTTTGAGTCATAGAAATGGCTTTGTTTACATTTTCTACATTCTTTAGTTTCAATAAGGAAAATAATTTAACATGTAATTATCTTTATTTAAGTGAGGATCAAGTAACGTAGGCATCTCTGATTGTCATTCCAGCCTGTAGTCTAAATATTGACGAGAAAAAAAATATTGTAAAAAAGTGGAAACAACACAGACTGACAATTATCACCATTTAAAGAAAAAGGTGAAGCTTTCAAAATGTGTCAATACACATTAACTTGCTTCCATCAGCTCCTGCATGCACTGTGAACAGAAGTCTTGTAGTCTAGAGTCTACTCAGCAGTAGTTGAGTATCCTGCAGCAAAACTAGATTTGAATCCCTGAAATGGCTGGAATATATTAGTGAGCTTCTTGTGTTGCATCACATTTCTAAACCATCTTGCTCTGATTCATATTTTGTTTTTCCTACCTTTAGTACATGCATTGCAAAACCTTTAAACAATATTCAAGTTGGAGACAGTACACAAACATCGAATGGAAGCACTGTTAAAATCACAAAATTATTAAACTAAAACATTGGTCTCCTTTTATTCCTGGGTGACATCACAATTTGTGCTGTTTTATTTCGTATTATGTACAGTATGTCTTGTTTGAACAGCAGATGATTGTGTAGTATTTAAGCATTGAAAAAGTCAATGTTGTGCCCTAGACTAATTCTCTAAACCTTTTAAATAATGTGGACAGAGATTTCTTAGGTAATGTAATATATAATATAGCTCTGAAGAGTTCCCTAAAACATAACTTACTGAAATTGCATAGCTGTGTTAATTAATTGTGTCAATTTCATGAATCTTTTGGTGGTATATATATTTAATTAAAAAATTGCAATTGCTATTTTTATACTTTTTCTGCTGTGATACATTTGTGTGTGCATGTAGATTATCTATCCATCAATTGGATAATTAAATATTAAACTAGTTACTTATGATTTTCAATCAATGATATTTCACTATCTCCATGCAGAAATAGAATACTTCAGAAAATACTGTCGACAATTTATATCACTGACAGAATTCACAGATTTTACCATGTTTAATCTAGTATTCTTTTGTTTAGCCTGTGTTATAGTTATATTGTCATACATATTACCTTTATACAAATATTGTAAGTGTATGTATTCTATGTGCTACAGCATGTACAAGTATAGAAGTAATAAATACAGAATGATCTTAAGATTAATTGGAGGTGTGAATGTGTAGTATGCTGCAAAGGATTTGTATTTTACTGTAGTTAAATTCTATTTTATATGGTAATATTATTCTTTATTAAGACTTATTTTCTTTTAAGCATTGAAATGTTGTCTAAACCAATGGCTGTATTTAATTATGACTAAATCTGGAGTGCTTTTTGATGCCCAAGTCATGGCACTGTGTGTACCACTGTAATTAGTGTGTGTCTTTCAATCGTATGGCCCTGAAGCAATAGGTGATTAGTAAGAAAAGGCATGAATGTACAGCCTGCAGGATAATTGTGTCCAGGACAAAGCTTGGCCAACATAATTAGCTGCATTTGGAAAAGTTCTCAATTTGCTATTCAGGAAACTAAACAGAAAAATCATATACTCCGTTGGTCATGAATAGATTTAAAAAATGAACATTTGGATTATCCGAGGACGTCCTACAAGGATAATAGAGCAAAGATTTCAGATCCCGTAATAAAGAGCGCTGTTTCTTTGTTTCTTGATCGCAAAATTCAATTTCAAATGTAGTTCCGAGGTGCTATTATCCGTTGATTTTAAGAACACAAATAACAGAGCTATCCCCGCATTTACAAAAATGTTTTTCTTCCATGTTTTTACTGAAGGCTTAGCTTAAAAAAACACATATCGCGTAAGACATTCTACTGTACTGTATATTATCGTCTGAGAATACTGCTTGAACTGTGCGTAACTGGCTCCGGCAAAGAATGGTACAGTATTCAATGCCGAAAATGATTTTAAAAAATCATTTTGAAAAGTTATATCCGAACCCTGTGAGCATGAGATTTAAACCTGGCTAGTCACATATCTATATTCACTTTGTTTATGAATTGCTTCCAATATTCCTGAAGTCTAGATTTCGTTTTTTAAAGTAATATTTTGAATATGTTATGAATCAGCCGCTATCAAAAATGCTTTTTATATTAAGCAGTTCTACATAAAATTCGTACAGCGATATCCACATCTAAAACAATGTTTCCCAAATGATCCCTGACGGCACATCAAAATAATGAATCAGACGTGTGTAATTCAGAATGCATCTGTGTAATCGTTTTCACCTGGTCATTGATAATTATGACAGTTCTGCAAATGACGTAAATAAAAAGCCCAGGGGTAGAAGGGTGAGGGTTAAAATATATTTATAGACAGAAATAGTAATACATATCCCTTGTATTCAGGGATGTTCAGTTGTAAAGAATTTTATGTTTCTGTGAAGATACTTGCTTCCGCCCTAAATTTCACCGCTGTGTTTGATTCTCTGCGAATGGGGTGCAGGCCTCTCTTCCTTCGTCGATTTCCTCAACTGGGTTTTGGCCGCAAAATGCCTTTTGAATAGGGTGCTACTTCTCTTGAACCTCAGTGAGAAAAACAACAACAACAACAACAAAACAATACTTCACTGTACGGAGCGCCTGAGACACCGACTTCTTCTCGCCTCCGCCGGGTGACAACTTCCTGGGCTCCGCCCCCTTCTCCCGGAAGTTTGGGTTTGAATCTCGTTTCGACGGGAAATTTGAACTTCCTGAGGTGGAAGCAATCTATTGTTGGAAACCATCAAAACTGGTAAGAATAGAGGTTTCTCTTTGTCATTATGACTGGACGTCTTCTTATGGGGACATTTAAACGGTACAATCGCAATGTTTCACGCGGGCAGGCTTGTGAGGTTTTTTTTTTACACAATATTTTATTTTGCTTAAGTATTATCATCGAACTTTTGCTTTCGCTTTGAAAGCCTGCTGGTCTGTCTGTCTGTCTGTCTGTGTTGTTGCCAGTTTCCATCGATCAAGGGAGAAATTTGTCGCAATGTAGCATTTCATCTGGACTTAGAGAAAATAATTGTAAATATGTTGTTTTAAATATAAGTTCTGACTAAGGAAACGGGTTTTTTTGACAGAGCTGTTTGATTAGCAAAACCAGACGTCTTGACGGCGAAGGGGAGTCTTAACTAGACTATTCTCGGTTTTTTAGATTTTCTATGCCGGTGGTCATGGCATTTCTAGACGGCACATTTTGCTATCTTTTCTGAAGTATAGCCATGTAAAATGTGATCTATTTTCTATAATTTTACTTTTCAAGTTCACCCTTCAAAGGGGTGTTGTATTTCAAGGGAAAGCCACAAATGCTGCACTTGCTAACAATGTTAACGTTTCAATGTTACTGTGAGACCTGGATAATCTGCAGTGGGGTTTTTTTTTGTGTCATAGCTTTTAGTTACAGATAGGCAGACCTGTCAGACATTTGATCGTCTTCTCAATTCAGATGTCTGTACTTTTCGACGATTGTAAAGTGCATTTAAAATGAAAGCTAAGCACGGCGTGCACTGAGCACAGGAGTTACCGGTGCATCTCCATCCCCTGTACCAGGCAGGTTAACTCTAATGTGGGAGTAGCGGAGGTCGGCTCCAGCCATGAAGAAGAGCCCCGTCTGCGCCGGGGACGAAAACAAGGACGAGCGTAAGTCTTTGATCTTGCAGCAGTTCCAGAACATGGAAGGTTTGGTTTGATCGAGTCTGTGTGGACGTCCTTAATTGACGTTGTGGAGCCTGTCGCCCTGGCCGGTTCTGAGTCATAATCATCCCCAAGTCGTATTTTTTTTTAAAGAGTTTTATTGGAGTGACCGATGAATTACCTTGTTGCCAAAGCAGATACAATCAACAGAGCATTAACACCCTTTTGCAGTATAACAAAAATACGACTGGACATTTACGTGCCTCGCGTAAAACGTTATTTGACAAGAATATACTGATGGGGGGGAAAAAAGGAACGCAACACCTCCTCCTCCACACTCTGGCCCTCCCGTCTGCGTGGAACAGGCTGAAGAGGACCTGATGCCACTGCTGAGGAGTCCATCGCCAGTCAGGTGTGACGTCTAGGAGGTGTGAGCAGAGGGCCTCTGAGGGGTCGCCTTGCTCTAAGGCCAGCACCATGGAGCCTCACTGTCCTGTCACTGATGAGGACATTGTGTCTGCCGGCATGTTTCAGCAGCAGTACGGGGGGGCAGATCTGAAACGATCTCTCAGATGTGTCGGTCCTGCTCTGGTGTGGTCATTCGATGGCGACCGGATCTTGGACGGTCATCTGTCCTGCCAGTCTGCTGAAACTCTCTGCAGTCGGGACACAGTGGAGCGGTTTACTCCATAGTGTCGAGGCACTATGGAATGCACAGAAAACTAAGTGTGGCCTTTTCTTACACTGGCAAGTTGCAATGCCTCACTGCACAAGCTGTATTGCTGGTCAGAGGGCTTAAAACAAATTGACAACTTTTTGTGAAAGTACATAAGCTATAACTATAGTATTCTCATTCCAGGAAATGTTGCGTTTCTTTTTTCCATCAGTGCATATATCTATCCCAGGCAACTCCCTTTTGCCCATTTTGCACCACGCATCACTCCTCTCTCCTTCACCCCATCTCCACCTTCGCAGCCAACCCTCGGTTCACTTCTCCGACTGGGGCCCGGGGTCCCTCGTCCTCTGGCCAGGGGGCAGGGCCAGGTCACGCCGTCCTTGAAACCTCGATAGACATCCACCAACGCATTGAATTCTTGGGTCGTCATTCTTCCTGAGCTTGCCCGTGATGTCTGTCCCGTCGCCTGACCTTCTCAGCACTGCTCCTGTGTCTGTAACAGTGTCGTTTTTGTCCTGTTTTAGCCTGTGTGTTTTGTAAGCTTCCTGACAACTGTCCGGAGAAGTATGGCGAGAAGATAAGTTACAAACAGCAGCTCACTCTTCATTATTTCTGTCTTGTAAGTATCGAGTCGACGTTGTGCTTGTCACAGGAAGAGGCCTTGCAAAGAAGAGGCTTATTGTTGCACAGTTCTTGCTTTGACCAAGAGGGGAAAAAAGTCAGTGAGAACGTTTGAATTGAATTCATCAGCTGAAAATAACCTGTTGCAAAATGTCTGTTTATTTTTGCAGTATTTTACACTTATGAATGGAATGGTATTGATCCTAAAGCACAGCAAAATCTGAACCACCAATGGCATCAATTCAAGCTTTACTGTCCTGTTTGGGGAAATTCATTTTAAAGCACACTCCCAGCATAACACAAAGACATTTTACCATTGAGACATCAGTGCAAGTGTTACCGCAAGATAAGGGAGAAGTTGGTTACCATACATCGGTTAAGCACTCAGCTAAAGCTACAGTACATTTAGATGTTTTAATCCACAGGGTGCCTTTGCTAAAATGGGCAGTCCTCCTAATCAACATAATGTTTTGTGTTCAAATTGTCTAGCTGATGTCCAGTGGCATATATCAGCGTGGAAATGAAGATCAGGACATCTATGGATTTTTGTTGCATGACATAAACCAGGAGATAAAAAGAGCATCCAAATTGGTAAGCGAAGTGTCATATACTATCTGGTAGTATTTTTGTCCTGTTTGTATTAAAAGAAATTTAGAAACGTTTGTCAGTGGTTCCTTATTATGCCTGAGGGTGCTTCTCCTCAAAGTGATTCATTTTTAACAATACTGATATGTGTGTCCTTTTAGACATGTGGAATTTGCAAAAGGAAAGGAGCTTCGGTTGGGTGTTCAGTCAGTGCCTGTCCAAAGAAGGTCCATCTGCCATGTGGGCTGAAAAAAGAATATATTTTCCAGTTTACTGGACAGTTTCCGTAAGTTTTTGGGGTTTTTTTCTTCACTTACGAATGTTGTTTACTGGTAATTAGGCTAGGATTGATTATAAGGTTATATTTTTGTTAGTGATTGTTTCTGTTTGTCCCCCAGATTTTGGATAAAACTCTCCCACGATGTCCCTGTCTGATCGCTGGTGTATAACCATGTTCACCTTTTATTGCTGAAGATCAGATAATACATGGACCACAGATTATTATGGTCCAAACATAAACTGGCATGTTGGGTCGCTGACTAAAGAGATGTGAACCCTGTTTTGATTCAGACCCTGTAGTTTATTTTGGGTTTTCAGTAGCTAATTGATCCAAAGATCTCATCCCGCTGTTCCTGAAAACAACATGCTGGTATCGCCTTAGACAACATCATCCTTTGGTTTTTAACTCAGTGGGCATAGTAGGCTCCTCTCATTTCTGTTCTGTTCTTGTGGTTATTGATTAACTGTTTGTTGAACCAAGAAGGTAATAACTCCATACTGAGCAGTCTAACCCAGGCCTTGCTTTCTGAGGAATGTAAAAGTATGCGTGTTTTCCCAGGCCTGTTCCAGTGCGAATTTCTGATGGGATATTCTGTCTTTGTACAGATCCTTCTGCATTGCACACAGACCTACTCAGACGATGGCAAAATCCAAATCCTCCAGGCTCAGTGGCCCCCTCAGCTGCTCGATTTGCCTGGAGTACATTGAGCCAGTCCTGTCCTACAGCGTGCTGAAGTGTCCCTGCTGTAACAGCAGCTGGTTTCACAGGGACTGTGTGCAGGTACGTGTGTCACGCTGAGTAAGTTGCTATTTCTTGCTTTCTTGCACCGAATGTTTAAAGATAGGTAAGGATATTAAATAGGCCGTTTGGCTCATCTAGCTCGTGTGGATGCTCCTTGAAATAGGCCAGGTTTCTGACCATGTAGGTGGGCAGTTTGTTCCATTCTTCTGCAGCCTTATATTAATGTAAACTTTTGCTACTTATTCTCAGTTTTAAGAATAGCACTGCAGACGTTTCTCTGATTCAAGGGGCAAGTGAAAGTTGAGAAATAATACAGGTTACATTTTTTGTTGTTTTGCAACTGATTAAGAGTAAGTGATTTTTGTAAGATTTGTTTGAGGAAGTTAAAAGTACCAGGCTTGTGAATTATCGTACATGTCTATGAAAACCTTTTAAAGGTGGCAAGGACATAGATATTCAGAATTCCTGCAATTAAGGATTTGTTTTCTTCTTGATGTCTCAGATTTTACACCACTCCTTAAAATAATTATTATAAATATTATGTTCTCTGTAAACAATACAGCAGCATAAATATCTCTTACGAATTGTGCTCCATTAGCATCATAGAACTAAACTACGTAAACCACTGTCTGCTGTATTTTGTGTCTTTGTATTTGAAAGTCCATTAATCTGAATGCCACAGGTGACAGTGTCAGATGCGTGCTTCACATTCTTTTTATCTTCTGTAAACAGCACCTAGCCCACAGTGCTGGAATGTTCTTCTTCAGGTGCACCATTTGCAGCAACAAAGACAGATTTCAGCAAGAAATGCTACGAATGGGCATCTACATACCAGAAAAGTAAGTTACTTGCATTCCAGGGAAACCAGCAATAAGAAGCCCGTTCCTTTCATATATTAATCCAAAGGATTTTAAAGTAGCGCTTTCGATTTACAGCTACATAAAACAGGGTCAGACTGGTTAAGCCGAGCCTGCTTACAGCTTGCAAAATAACACTCTCAATAAGAGTTCAAACTGCAAAAAATATGCCAGAACACAAGGTTAAAAAGTTCATGGATTTAATTTTGAATTATTTCAAGAATAGTACTGGTAGAAATGTGTAATGTTTATGTGTATATATTTCTATGATCTTTTGTGGTTATCGCAGAGATGCATCCTGGGAGCTGGAAGAAAATGCCTACAGTGATTTGCTACAAGTCTATCAGCACTGTGATGTGGAGATGTGCTTCTGTCAATGTGGGAGGGAGTACAGTAAGCCTGACAGGTACAGTACCTGCACACCTACATGGTACTGTAGTTTTCCAATTGATTGAGGAAAAGCTCCTTCACGTTTCATGTGCGACTACTTGCAAGCAAATATTTGTGATGAACCATCGGTAAACGACACTGGGTCAGTTATTCACATTTGTTTTTTGTTTTCATTAAAAACAAATGAAAACAAGAAGTGAAAGGTGAAGCAAATGAACTGAAACTAATCTGTCCACGTGACGTTTTTGACGGCTTTAATATGGCTTTAGGGAGCACCAAATTGTTGCCGTTGTTGTTGCTGTTTTTCAGCCTGTGGGAAATCGTACGGTGCCACTGCTGTGGATCCAGAGGAACTCATCGAAAGTGCTCATCTCTGAAAGGCTTAGAAGAGAACTGGGCCTGTGCAGAGTGTCTCCTCATTCTCAACGAAATGGGTAAGGGCCTGCAGTGTGTGCAGGAGTGATATCCTGAGCTAGTGCGAGCAGAAACAGAATTCATGTCTGATGTCTCAACGCAGGGCTCCAGGACAAGGAAAAAAGAAAGAGGCGGCCTCTACAAACGGTCAACTGATAGCTCCAGGCCCATGCGTTCTGCCTACAGGTGAATGTTTCCATTGATATGCATTGAGAGCAGAGGAAAAGATGCTCGATACTGAGCAAGGAGGCTCTGCAAGAACAAAAAGGGCAATTTCAAGACCTCACTGCACCAGCGGCAGAGACCAGAAGCACAAGAGTAAAAAAGAAAAAAACTGAAATAAAGCTGGAACCTGCAAGCGGTAGCCTTAAACGGACAACTTGGTCAATGGAAACAAAGCCTTCATTTTTAGATTTCAGTTTCATTACCTGAAAATGAAAGTGACTGTATCCTAGATTTTGAAGAATGTCTCCAAATTCTGTGTGAAGAACGGAAGCTGAACCTGCAGACACACCTCTTGTTCCAGAAACGGAAAAAACTTCTGGGAACTAGTTCATCGGCTGACTTACATTTCTCTCCAGCTTTTCTCAGTGAAGTTTGACTGAAGGCATGTGTGTGTTGTAGCACTCTGGTTTGGTAATAGTTGGCAGAGCTAAAAGGAACTTACATGGGCTACCACAATAAATGTATTGCAGTAATCATAGACCAATCATTTGTGATTACTGTTTTTTTTATGCTACTTTTCAAAATGTAGTCTTAACTGTTTTGGTTACATTTTATTGCCATCCCATTGACATTTGTGATTTGTTACACAAATTGTGATCTCTTTTTAATATTACATTTGTCATGTGAAAAAAAACTTTTTTTTTTAGCAACGACTACAAAAGTTACATTGTCTTTTGAATCATTCTCGACTTGGGAGAATGTGTGTGTAACTGTTCCACAGGTCTCATGGGCTGACCCTGTTGTACTTTATGATGATATGCTTTATCTAGCTGCTTTAAGTGAATGAAGATCCCACTACGTCTTCCGAATTATGTTCTGTAGAACCCCATTCTAAATACAGTACTATGTTTGACACAGTATTACCTTAAGAAGTTGTACTTTGAGGAAAAAAAGTAAATTAATAAAATATTTTCATACAGTGTATTCTTTATTCTTGGAATCTAGTGCTGTGGAGCTTGTATCTACACTGGAGTTGAGAGTTTATTAGGTACACCAGCCCTTCCCATCTGATTGACTGCTCAGTCAATGACAGCATCATATGTGCAGACAGTGCTATTGAAAGCAGGCAGGACTGTGTGGAATTCACCTACGGACATATGGATTGTGTGTGTTTGCGATTCAGAGGGAGAATGGGCAAGACAAAGGATTAAAGTGACTCTGAATGTGGCAGGGTAAGTGGGCCCCAGACGTGCTGGTATGAGTGTGTGAGGAACCTCAACCCTGCTGTTCGTGCACAGTGGGGTCTTGGGTGTATTGTGAATGGGCCACCGCCCAGATGACATCCAGCTGACCACGGTAGGAAACAGTCCAGTGATCCAGGGGGCTGACAGCGGCTGGCACGGCCTGTGCAGAGCAACGGATCAGCTACAGCCAGTCAACTAACCGGCGAGTACAACAGCAGCACCGAGAGAGGCCCGTTGGAATGCACCACCCGTCCTGTCACGGAGGGGGTATGGCAACTGGCGGCCCAACTGAGTAACACTCCAGTCGGCAAAAAAACAAAAACATGTGGGTACTGTGGGCTAAGGAGCACTGGAGGACTGATACAACAGCGCCTGGTCCTGGTTCCTGCTGTTCCACACTGATGTGAGGACCAGGATACGGCAAAAACACGAGTCCGTGGATCCATCCTGCTGGGTGTCAATAATGCAGGGTGGGGGGTAGGTGTCCATGGCACACAGTGGGTCCCTCGTTCTGAGAAGAGCGACACTTGAATGCTGCAGGATTGTTGCCGATCAGGTGCATTCCTACACCGCTGCAAGGTACCCATCTGTGGTGCTGTGTGACACAAGGCTAGAAAAGCAGGAACGTGACGGTGAATTCAGCTAAATGCAGTGGCCTCCCCAGTCTCCAGATCTCAGTCTAATCAATCATCTGTGGGAGCTAGTCGGAGATCCATCACTGACTAATTTGCAATGACTATGGGGCATTTTGTAGCCAGCATAGGCGAGCATCCCTGTGTGGCACTGTCGACAGCTCTGTTGAGTCCATGTCCTGATAAATTCAGGGTGTTTTGAGGGCAAATCGGGGACCAACTCGCTATCAGCTAGATGCACCTAATCAAGTAGATATTATGTATGTAATTAGCATATTTATCAAGTGCGCAGATGATAGAGTTCTGCTCCAGAGGTTTGAGTCCAGGTTCTACAGGATATTAATATTTCCAGGAACTGTCTGTTGCAATCACGTATTTTGTCTTGGTTTTTAATAACTCCTGGGTGATCTACTGTATGAGGCGCAAGTGTTTCACTGATACAGGAAAATATCTGAAACTCAAAAACAGTGCACAAGAGCAGTGCAGAAGATGACAAACTCAATCCACAATTATAGTCAGAGTACAGGTAATGTCAGAGCAATATCGAATGTTATTACCCAGGGATTAACATTTGAACCTGAAATTTGGAATGAGAAAAGAAATCCTTAGAGAATATTTCAAACAATTTATATTGTGAGCCCTAAAGAGAATGTTTCTGGGAAGGGTCTAGCTATTATTTCCCAATCATATGTATGTCACGTGAAAATGATTGAAATATCCCCTCTTACTGGAACCTCATGCTATTTGAATAATTAAAAAATATTGGAACCATCTTGCAAAAGAAAAACTTTTTACACAGAACTTCTGATGAATGCATGCACCAACAGTAACAGAAAAAACTATAAACCAATTGCTAAAGCATTTAAACGTATTATTTCTCCTAAGGGAGAAATTCAAAATGTATGTGTTGAAAAGCGCTGCAGTCAATTTTAATTTTAAATACATGCTACATGAGGATGTAGCAGTTTTTGTAATCCTTCAATTAAGCTTTAAAAACTGATCAAGAAACACAAAGCATTTTAATGGTATTTAATTGGAGATAATAAATATTGCTTGTCATATATTTAATACTAAATTTATAGAAAACAATTTCCACTTGAGAAATTATCTTATAACAGCTTACAAACAAATAGAAAATAAAATATTGAAATCAAATATTCAATAACATTTTAAGAACTAGTAATTTTTAATTTAGCAATTTAGTTTTTTAGCAATATAGACACTGATGTGAATCATGAATTTTAATGAGAGTAATTCCATGATTCAGTACTGTTACTAATCTTTTAGAAATGCATATCACCATATACTGTAGTTCCATGTGTTAATAAGAATATGAAGAAATTTATTTGCCTCGGCTTGCATTCATGCAAGTTTTGATTTTTTTACCAACACTAAAATTCTCATCACACAATTCAGGAACATTGAGACCTGCCTTCAGATTTCTCCATCTGCTAATTAAAGAGCTAAAGAGCTTTTTTTTGAGAGTTCTTTGAACTTTAAAAAGCTGTCACTAGACTCACAAGCTTTGGTGCTTCCATGCATTTTATATCAGATGTACTTTTAAATTCACTAGCTTGGTTTATTCCCATAGCAACAGTTTTCCCAGGAAAAAGCACTCTGCTCAAAACCTTGCTTAATCAGATTAATTCAACACGCATGGCTGGTATAGTTTTATAATACCGCTGTTTAAAAAGACAAATTTAAATTCTACACTGCACTACTGTACTGTGGGGGAAAAAAAACTACGCTGCAGTGAAGAAATTTGTGTCGTGATGTCATGTATTGTCACACAGCTTTGTTAAGTGCCTTGGGGCAACCGTGCTGCGAAAGGCGCTATATAAAAATGAATTGAATTGAAATTGGAATTGAATTGAAAGTTGTCTTCGAGCTCAAATCGCCTGTTTATTTCAGGACGAGATCGAGTATTTGCATCTGCTGTATAGTAACTTCCATCCTTTCTTCCAATTCAGGGTCGTGGGGAAACTGCTGATCATCCCAGCAAGCAAGGGACACAAAGTGGGGTACACCCATGATTGGACAAAAGTCTAACGCAGGGCTAGACACACAAACACAAGTACGCAAATACTCACACTTAGGGCCAGTTTTCCTAGACTCCAATTAATGTACCAGTGTGTCTTTGGACTGTGGCAGAAAACCTACACGAACGGGGCGAAAACATACAAACTCCACGCAGGTAGCACCCCAGGAACTGAACCCAGGGCCGCTTCTTACAAAATGCAGACGCTCCCTGCAGGCCGCTCCAGCGCGAGCTGCCACGTCACCCGGTGCTCGTCACTGAGTGATTCGGAAACAGCAAAGATGGCTGCGTCCATCCGAGAGAAACAGACAGGTTCGTAAACTGCATACTTTGTCGGAGGGACTGCGGGAACACGAGCTTTTATTTTGTCGAGCTGTTGAGATTGTGAGCTATACTTGGCTGCTGGGCCGTTAGATAGCTCAGAACTCGCTCTGTCTTGTGAACAAACGTCTCTGTCTGGGTCATAACAGTTCTCGGCTTTGCCAGATAAGCTTGTCACTTTCGTTTCTTAATATTTTATTAATTGCGTGAATCAAACAAATGGGCGACAGTAAATTCTGCAACACAGAACTATGTTATTTTCTCTATCAACAGCTTTAATTGCACGTTTTGCACAGCTGGAAAAAATAGCCAACTAAAAATATTAAATGTTACGTTTTCGGCTCTACGTCCCAAAGAATCCTTCAATCTCCAGATCTTGTCTTTAGTTACGAATTTGATTCCTCAGTGATCATTGCTATTTGACGTATCGTTTCGGGCGATAGGTGGGTTTTCAACTAGGAGATTAAAGAGGATGTCAGAGTCCCATTCGAATTATTACTGAAGTCAAAACTGTCAGTAATAAATTCACCTGACGTGTTTAAAGTGGACTTATTACCATATTTTAGATGTCTTATAATAGGCTTTTTATCAATGTTTAAGCCTTTAGTTCGACGGGTTAACTAGCACGATGCGTTATTAGTTGGTGTTGGAGCAAAAGCGTGTAATTAAGTCTGTATCCACTCTGACGAATTAGCTCGAAGGCGTTCTTAGTTGTCTTAGTTGAAAATAATAAGTACGACATAGGAAAACTAATCTAAACTTCATTTCAGTAGGAATCTGCATGTCACCAGAGAGGAAGAAAGAATTCGCTATATGGTGGAGTTGTGGCTAGAGAAAGTGGGCGGGTTGGGCTTTCAGTCCTAGGTGGGCAGACTAAGAGTACTCCAGTGAAATGAGTAGATATATTCATGGATGCAAATGTGCATTACTCTCTTAACCAAAATGACTTACATTAACTTAAACGTGGACTGTGGGTCGTATTAAAAGAAAAGATCTGTATAGTTGGTCCCAGTCTAATAAAGTTCATTACCATTCATAAAGTTTAACTGTTATTAGATTTAATAAATATTGCATTGCAGATGCATAATGCCTGCTTGTAGGTATTTGACCTATTTTATTGTTTTGTCTTGGGCAGCTGCTTTGAGGCGGATGCTCAACTTTAATGCTCCTCCTTTGAAAAACAGCGCTGCTGAGCCGGTATGGAAGGTGAGCAGAATATAGTAGTTATTGGTGGTGATTGCACAGCAGTGGTACAGTATGACTGCTGCTGCGGACCCACATGTGTACAGGGCTAAGAATGAGGTCGTGTCTGTGCTCCGGCCCTTGCAGGTGCTCATCTACGACAGGTTTGGTCAGGATATCATCTCACCTCTGCTGTCAGTCAAAGAGCTCAGAGACATGGGGATCACACTGCACCTGTAAGTCAAAGCTTAAAGCACCCTCATTTAACAGGCAAAAAGTGTTTGGTGACTCATGTTTTTGTTCAGAAACCTCGTTGTCTGTGGCATTGCAGGCGTTGGTGTGACACTGAAGTGGTTAGCTAGAGACATTCTGACTTCTTTTTTCATTGGTCTTTACTTATGTATTGTTACAAATGTTTTTTGTAAAAATAGGAAATATCAGGGGTTTTTTGAAAAATAGGAAATATCAGGAAGTGACCGAGCAGATCGATATTAAAAATAAATAATCATAACCCCCAATTTGTTTGAGTTCTGCCAAGAAAATACTTGAGTGTTGGGTATAATTAGAGGCACATGAGTTCTTTGTGTTCTGGCACAACCTATGTGAAAAAAGTGATAATTCAGGCACACTTAGTTTAAACAAATGTTTGGTGTGTGTCTTGTCATTGTTAATAAACAACACACAAGTTAAATTATTTACAAATGTACACACGAGCCATCCCAGGTGGTTAGACACATCCTAACCATCCAGAAAAACACCAGACTGCTACCAAATATTTGACTGTTGTGTAAGGCCTACAACACCAAGAGAACAGGGCAGCTGTCTTCTTAAACCAAACAGAATATGACCTGCAGTTGAATCTCTCTCAGCAATCCCCGATGCCACAAAATGAATGGGATCCTATCTCGCTATTCACAAAATGCACCCAATAACCAGGAGAGGCGTTTTTAAACCGAGGGGTTATTTACACATGAAATCAAAGTTCCCTAAAAATCACAGAAACATGCTCTCTAACCAAGGTCCAAATACTGAGCTCCAGTCTGGTCTCTCCGGCTGATCTAGAAAAGGAGCTCCTGCCTCTCATCTTCTTTTTCCCTCTTTACTCTACCCCCCATCTTCTCCTATACCTGCCTTTTTTAAGCTGTCTGACACCTAACCATTTACCCAGAACTTAACTAAGGTAAACCAAAGTAAACTTTACAATTGCTTTGATCACTGAATCTGGGACACAAACATCTCAGCAAACATCCCCTTCCTTTGAAGCTGGAAATGTTGACAATACCCAAGAGTTACCCATTGTATCTATCTTCACTCCATAACGTTCTTTTTATTTTTGTAACCGTGACTTTATATCATGTAATGAGAATAATTAGATTTCCCATCTAATCATCATTTACTGTTTAATACCGAGTTGATCGTTACATTGGTTAAAAATTGGGTTAGGAAATAACTTTTAAGCACATGTGAATGTCGTTCTTTAGCCTCCTGCATTCAGATCGAGACCCAATTCCTGACGTTCCTGCGATTTATTTTGTCATGCCCACTGAGGAGAACGTTGACAGAATATGTCAGGTAATGAAAATAGTGTCCTGTAACATGCTCTACAAAATTGTTTCTAACTTTAGTAACTCTGCACAGAACCCATTCTACAGTATATGAATCTACAGTAGGTATTGATGTCCTTTTTTCAGGATTTAAGGAACCAGCTCTATGAGTCTTACTACTTGAACTTCATTTCTGCAATATCAAGAAGTAAATTAGAAGATATTGCGGGTGCTGCCCTGGGGGCTAATGCTGTAAGCCAAGTTACAAAGGTAGGGAAATGCTACTATTTATAATGGCTAAAAATCAGGAAACTGAGCATCGATTTAAGCTTCATTTTTGATTGCAACAATCTAAAAGCAAGTCATTGTTTTTGCAGGTGTTTGATCAGTATTTGAACTTCATTACACTGGAAGATGACATGTTTGTTCTTTGCAACCAGAATAAAGAGCTCATCTCCTACCATGGTAAGTTCCCTAGTGTCATCTGGTCCCTGTTTTATTGTGTCATGTAAAGAATTATTTATAATACGGGCATAAAAAGATGTTCAATTTGAATGTTTGTTCATATAATTTTAAAATGTTTTTTTTTGTTCTCAAGATATACATTTCTGTGGAACAGTCTTAATTTGCATTTTGACTACCTTTCATTTGGTGTTTTACCTTCTTCATACAGAACCACGATTCTATAATCCTTTACTGAAATGTTAGTTATTTTGAGACGTAAGACTCGGATTTGATTAGTAAATGCTTACAAATGAATTCAATGTTGCGTAATAAGTTAATGTGTTGTAATGCCCAAATATCTAATTTGAGTCACCAAAATAAAATGACGTTGCGTCTTTACAAAATACCTTGAAATGTTTTTGTACTGTATATTAAGGTCTGCCACATTCACTGATGATTTCATTGCTTTAGAAGTCTGTTTCAAAATATGAAGTTGCTCGACAGTACCATGACAGATGTGCTCCTTTTATAAAGGACATGGCTCATTTTGTGCTCATGAATCTGTTTTACCTTTAACAGCCATTAACAAGCCAGACATCATGGACACGGAAATGGATGCCATAATGGACACAATAGTTGACAGTCTTTTCTGTTTCTTTGTGACACTGGGTGAGCTCAGTTCAGTAATTCTTTTTGACATGTCTACACCGCTTAATGAACCTCCATTCCATTTTCCAAAAGCTATGAACCTGCATTCGTATCCAGTCATGCTTAACAGATCATGTAGTTTGGAGTTTTTTTGTAGCCAATTCCAAATGGATCTTAAAATTGATTTCTTGCATCTGTAACAAATTGACTATGACAGTTTCAGAAGCAAAACAAATAAACTAACCCTGTTAAACCCATGATTACAAAGTTACTCTTCTCAGTTGTAAGTAAGCACCATCTCCCCTTTAAGAGTACTGAATTCATATGTAACATGTCATTGTTAAATTTGCCTCAGATAAGGAATTGAAAGCATTGTGTAATAAATGGGTATGATGTTGCCAGCCTATGTTTTTTGCAAATTTTTAGTGCAAGTGTTTTTATCTTTTTAATAATGTTCTCCGTTCTGTGTAAGTAAATGACCTCTTTAGAGGATCTTACTTTGTAAGCTAGATGGCAGCAGTTCCCCAGTTCATCTGTTATTTAATTGGTAAAGGATCTGTATTTTCTAAGTGCATTGGAAACCAGAGTGTTGACAGCCTTTGCTGGGATTAGACAAACGCTTATTAAGAATTTGGGGAGTTGTGGCTGAAAGGTTGTCTGCGGAGATCAGGGTCCTTTGAGGCACTAATCCAGCTGGTTTTCAAGGTCTGTACGTAGTCAGCAGTTTAAAACGAGGAAAATGAGTTTGAATTCCAAGCTGAGATTTCAGTTTGTCTGATTCGTTATTTCCCTCATGTTGATAAGTTTTAAAAGACTTGCAGAGACCCAGAATACTGTTGCCTTCGTGATCTGGAGTTCAGAAATACAGCATTCAAAACTGTGATTGGTGCAAGCTCAGTTATCGTTGAAATGGTATGGAGCATTGTAAACTGACTGTCAGGCATTTGTTAAGATGCAATTTTATTGCTTCCAGTTACAGAGAGTCACCAAATGCCAAAAGCAAGGACTTTGTGAAGGGCAGTGTGAGCAGCCGAATGGCAGCTTCACTCGTTTAACCGATTCTCCATGCACGTCCAGTGTGTGGGGTCGTCTGCCAGGAAAGTTATGCTTTTCGCAAAAGGAGGCAGAGAACCAGCACGTATAATAAAACACAGCTGAAAGATTGTCTTACACCTAATAATGTTAACTCCCAAGTACAGCATATGTGACTTATTCTGTGCTCAGTCAAAACTTTCAATGCTGCTACTGTTAAGGGGGGAAGTTTGATCCAGAACAAAAAATCAGATATAATTCTTCAAGTCTTGGCCAGAGACTTGCTGTACATTTCACTTTGTTCCGTATTTTATCTTGGGTTTCACCATCTCAAGTGTGAAGCTGGATACAACCATTCTTCTGATCTTAAGTAATTTAAAGTAATTAAGTCAGCAGGAGAGTGTAATAACATATTACACATGTATAAGTGATGTCATTCTGACAGTAAATGACAGAGCCTCCAAGTAGTTTTATTTAAAAAACATATTTAAAGTAGTCATTTTTATCAGGCTGTCTAAATTGTGGTAGCAGGGAAAATTGAATCTCATTAAAAGTGAATCTTAACCTGTTGGATACTGAATCTTTGCAGAAATCTAAAGGAAGTGGCGTATTAGGTACTATATGTGAATACGTTTCAGATGCTAAATGTCTCACAAAATGTCCAAACATAGAGTTTTATGTTAAAGTGTCTTGAGCAGTCCAGGATTTCTCAAGAAGCCGCAAACAATAACTTGGTGAGTTAGATCCGTGTTATGTCAAAACTATTAGTTTCATATTTGTGACTGTCTATTGTATCTATCAGGTGCTGTCCCAATAATAAGATGTCCACGGGGAAATGCAGCAGAAATGGTAGCTGTGGTAAGAGTCCACCTTGTATTATTATTGCAGTGGATGTTTAGTGTTTCACGGTTGCACAGCAGTATAAGCTAGTGGCCTATCCAGTTGTTTTTTGTTCTGTTTGTCAGTATTTATTGGCCGCCTGGGCTGTTCAGATTGAAAATAACTTAATAATTGTAGATCTGGAAGCCTACATAAAAAGTAAATAGAAGTGTATCCTGAGTTTGAAACTCTATAGCCTTGTGATTCAAATAGAGAAAGTGTGGACTGAAATTGTACAATTGCACTGACAGACTATAGGGTACTCAAGGACAGATTGCATGTTATAATTTTTTTGATAAAGGCACGTCTTGCCTATTGCATTGTTACTAGACTAGGATGCAGAAGGTAATGGGCAACATATTTTCGCATTTTCATGTTTTGCTTGTAGTGGCAAATAGCTCTAACTGCTGTTCAAAAGAATGGCTCTTTGTTTGAAAAGCTGTTTTAACTGCGGGCTTAGATTTGTGTTAAGAGCATTCAGAGTTAATGAGGTGTTTTGACATCTGACAACTCTCAAAAAGATGATGGACGTAAAATCATAAAATATGAGTTGCGTCAAGGTAAAATAAAAGAGACTGATCCAGGTGCTGGAGGCTAGTTAAAGAATTAAACTTGGGAAGGAAGTTAACAAGATGGGATTTCAAAGGAAAAGAACGGTGAAGTACAAAAATATAAATCTGTGTCAAAGTGGCGCAGCTGCATGTTGGCAGCAGCTTTTTACAGCAGCTCACTGGGGCTGCAGTGCTGAAAGAAAAGATTTGTCTTTTCAAAGTGGAAAGTTCTAGATATCTGAAATAACAGAAAAATAACCCATCATTTAAGCTGTATTATCCTCTTCCTAAATCATAAATTTCATATTCACAACCACTTTAACATGAAAAACATACACAATCGAGCTCATTGTATTGTTGTTTTTAGGCTTTTTTTTGCCCGTTACAATCAGTTTTTTTTTTCTGATTTGATTTCCGAGTAATCTATTTTGGTTTATCTTTATATGTATTAACTGGGGCATATCTAATTGGATTTTTACAAGTGAAAAGAGATTGACAGTTGTAATCTTTGTTAGTTTCATGTGATCAAGTAATTGGCACCAAAGAGAGATTTGAAGAACCGCCTTCACAAACTCGACATTAATTAATTAAGAAATCTAAATTGTCATAGCATGCTTTAACCAAAATGCCGCTTTTCAACGCAGCAATAGATGCATTCTCATTAAAAAGTAGTGTAGAATTATGGCAATTTGGCTTTTTTACTTTAACTGTAAGGGCCGAATGGTTTACGTGTCATTTCACTTTACTTTTTTTTTTTAAGAAACTGGACAAGAAACTTCGTGAAAACCTGAGAGATGCCCGCAACAGCCTGTTTACTGGAGACACAATGGGAGCTGGACAATTCAGGTATTCTTTTTTTTAATCTTCTCCTTAGTTTGAGACACATGCACTGCCTTGATTATTGACTGCTTTAAACATTACATATACGTGGAGACCTTTATATATATATATATTTGTTTGTTTTTCCAGTATATCCACGTATTGCGTTTACTACAATGCTGCTGGCTGAAGACTTAGATTTAATATTTTTTTCTGCCCCTCAGCTTTCAAAGACCATTATTTGTCCTTGCTGATCGAAATCTCGATTTGGCAACGCCACTCCACCACACTTGGACATATCAAGCCCTCATACACGACGTTCTGGTAAGAATGTGACACGCAAGGTCACGACACCCTGCAAAGAGAAAATGTTTCATGTATCCTCCGATGGGAAATGACTCAGGGTCACTCCCATGGATATCGGTGAAGGTGACAAGTTATTTGGGAATTCTTACTGGCCCTGGACTGTGCAAGTGTATTGCTTGTTAATAATGACAAAACCTCACAGACGGTTTTTATTTTTTGTATTTGCATTGTAGGAGCAGCTAGACTGAGCCCTCGATTTGGGTGGTAAAGCCAATAAGTCTTGATATTAGAATTTTAAGAGAATGTTGACTAATTTAAGTTCTTCATTAGTTGTTAAAATGGATTAAAAATGTAGTTCATAATTTTGATTTAATACCCTAATTCTCACATAATCCATTGCTTAAAAATACGTTGTATTGCATAATGCATCGGTTCTAAGTTCCAAGGATATACCACAATGAAACTCATGTGTCTTTTACTGAACCATTTAGTCATTTATTTTCTAGTATTATATAAGCAGAAATATGAAAATATCTTTTGTTCATGAAATCTCCTTAAATTACAGCCATATGTGTTTACTAGGAGATGAAGACAAATCAACTTTTGTTGTTTTTTTTCTTTAATCTAACTTTCTATCTGGAGACAGGCTAATTCATAAAATATATTAGTCACTTTTGCCACTTCTGTGTCACAGCTGGAGTTGCAGGCAGTAACCAGAACAAATTATTTCCATCTTTAGCCTCGGCTACAGTCAAGCACTTTCATCTGAAGTGCATTTTGTTGCAGCAGGTTGAAGAAGGGTGCCATCTGGAAGTGAATTTTATCTAGTAGATTATATAGTACGTCCTCTGAGCAAGCAAGAAAAATGCTTTGTAATGTTTACATTCCCATCTGCAATTAAAACCATTCTAACAAAGCTGCAGATTTGTAAGCAAGACCAGAGTAAAAGCCTTGTGAGTCACTGGCGGCTTTAGCAATGTTTTGAAGTGTCTGTTTCCTTCTTTCCTATGCCTTGTGCAGGGGAAAAAAAAAGTAATTTAGTTTCTGCGACGGACAACAGGAGAAATTTAACCATCTGGTGCTGGACCGAGGCAGCATCAGTCTGAATTTAAGATTGTGGAGTGGTTTAGATTTTTTTCTGGATGAAATCATCCAGGTGACTAAAGACTGGATCACGTTATCAAGGGAGTAGGGGGATGTGGGAGGTTCTGTGGCTCAACCAGTAAAAGAACTGGTCTGACAACAGGCTAAGTTCTGTGATGCAGACATTGTGAGCTTGTTGCTGGGTCGTGTCGCCAGCCAACTGTGACCAGGATTCCCCAGTTGATGGCGTGCAGCTGTCTTGGTCCTCTGGGGGTAAGGACAGTCGCCAGGAACGACTCGGCTCTCAGCAAAACAGTGATCACTCTGACTCCCCAGGCCCCTGCAGGCCATCGCTGTCATCAGGGAAGACCACCAGTGCTGAACCTCCCACCCACTTCTGTATTATTATTGTTATTATTATAATAATTATTTTACAGTTGTATCTTAAAGCATGTTACAGTAGGTGTAAAAAAAAGATTACCATAGATTTGAGTATCATCAGCACAGAAATGCTAATGCTAACATAACTCAGTTCATGTGATTTTAATTTCTGCCCAAGTGGGAACATGTAGAGTTCCAGAGTAGCAGGGAGCCCAATATCTAGCCTTGGGGAACACCAGACCTAACGAACCCAGAGCCCATTTTCTGAACTAAACAGGAGAGTTTGATAACTGGAGACTGCTGCCATAAGAAGTAACTTTGGATGGGCAGTATCTGTGCAGTGTAATTGTCTGAAGCCAGATTGAAAGGGTTCGAAGAGGTTATTTGCAATGAGGTGATGGGTAAATTGTATTGCAATGGCAAATTTGAACTTTTTTTTTTTTAAGGCACAGGTCTAACTGAAGTCATTTTAGAGGCTGTTGGTACCACTCAAGGTGCTCAAGGACTTATTTACTGTATGATGTTGAGGTCAGTAGGACAGAGGGCTGGGAAACGGGACTGAACTAAAACGGAAGGAATGGGATCTAGCAGACAGGTGGTGGGTTTCACATATGATAGCTGTTGACTAAGGCATGCAGTGTCCTGTTGAGAGAAATAAGACAGAGGAGAACCAGTAAAAACAGGCATGCAGGAAGGAGGTGTAGTAGTGGCAAGTGTGGTGCAGAGACTGTGATGCCAGGTATCGTCAATCTCCGTTGTAAAAACCTCTAAAACAGTGTTGATTAATTGCAAATTCAAAATAAAAAAATCAGGAGTCTGGGGTCTCACATTCCCTGAAGCGCTTCTAGTATTTATTGCTATAATGATGTCATCCAGACTGTCTTATAGTTTGCAGTGCCTGGCAACATCATTTATCACGGACGCACTGAAGTCTGGTTCCACAGTTTGGACTAAGTGCAAGGCTTAAGCCAGGCCAGTATCAAAAAGAAAAACCTCATTTAACTCTTCAGTGAAGGGAATTCTTCTCATTTTAAAATAAGAACAGATTAGATGTGAAAGTGAGAGTTTTCCTTCTGTTTTTGTACCCCATGCAGATTGCTTCCTTTTTAACACTAAAAAAAACATCTTTATCAGAGTGAGAGATTTTAGAAAACTGTGAAAAGATCACATGTCTGTGTACAAAATACAGAATTGTAAAGGAGCTTCTGATTTTTGCTGGCACTGAACTATTAACTCTTCTCACAGGCTAGTATGTGATGAAGTGAAAAGGATCTTGTAAGCCTGCCTGATCCTTGCAGTCATTATATTCCTTTCATGCTCCATGCACATTGCCTGTCACGACATCTTCTGAAGTGCAGAGATACCTGTTTCTGTTCAAGTCATTCCACAGTGGCTCTCATCATTCAGTCTGGGGGTTGGCCTAACAGCTCTTAAATTTGTTCTGCACTGTTTAAATGCCCATCTGTTTTGGCCTGGAAACAACCTTCTGTCTCAGAAGAAGGGCAAAACAGCTAAGAGAACTTTTGCATTCCATTGTAATTAATGGCGTTTTATGTATGGTCCTCTGGTAGAATGACAGAGATTGTCGTAAGAGCGAATAGTATGCCGATGAAACAATGACAAACCATTTATTTCATTCCCCCCCCAGATATTGGTTATTTTTTCTGTAACCAATTTTACTTTCATCAGAATTCAGGGACCTTGAGTGTGCAAGTTATTGTTCTCCAGCCAGAATAAGAAGAGAGTGTTCTTCCTAGCCATGCTCGTACAGACAGGAAATTCCTGCCTTTTCTCCAGATGTCACTCCTTCACTGAGCAGCACATCAGCACGTAGCTACTTCATACATCACCGTGAAGACACTTAAGCAATTGTTTTGGCCAAAAATCTAGACTGCAATCTCCTGTGTTCTTTAATTGATCTTTTGGCCACATTTTGCCGCAAGATGGTTCTTTTGATTCACACACTGTCCAGGGCAGAGTTTGATCTGGTCGCATGGGAATTTAATCTCCGTTCTGGAGCCTTACCTTTCTTTAGGATTTGTCTTTGCGACCCAGGTGATGACCAGATCGCTTTCTGAAAACATGATATTCAGAATTTCAAAACGCATGCAATCTTGTTTCCATCTGCTTTTTGCAGCAGTTTTTTTTTCCCTAAATTATATTTATTGGTGAGCTACTTGGATCTCACAAACCAAAGATGTTAAAAATATGGACTTTAGAATAATTAAAAAAAATTTAATTATAGTTTTGGAAGACCTCTTCATGAAGGAGTGCCTAAGCTTGTCAACAATATGCACAACAAACAAAGGAAACGGGAAGTGATACTAATTGCTGGCTAGTAGTTAAAGTGACAAACATAACTCAGCTTAGTTGGGTTGCTGTGGTATTAAAGGTCTTTCGGAAACAAGTTAAGTAAATAGGTTAAAAGGGGCATGCAAAATAATATATCTTTGCTACGTGGAGGCCACAGTTGAATTACGAAACTAGCTTTTTGCCTCTCGTACATCTGTGCCTGGGCTTAAGTGGTAACTAACTTTGTTTCTTGCCTCTATCACCTCTTTGACTGTTCCATGTCAGCAGGCCAGTACCCCTTCCCCGTGACTGCATACTGTACATAGACTTCTGCCCTGCCACACTTGGATATATCATTTCCATCTGCAGAACACCTGAATGTCAGCACCACATATAAATTGCATTTTTCTTGAGTTAAGTAGTTTAGTTCCTGCTGCACCCAGCTTGAAAGAGTTTTCCTCATTCTTGTGCCAAGCTCTGCTTTTTGGTGAATATTTTTCCCCAGTATAACTTATGTTCTTGTGCTGCTTGCTCCTCTGAAAATGACTTATTGTTTAAGATTTCTGGCACATAGAACGACTTTCTTTTGATACACAGCTGGTTACAGGGATCCTGAATGCAGTGGAGATAGTATCAGTGTTTGTTCTGAAATTGAACCATTTCCTCTGAGACTCCGGTGACAAAGCTTTGCTGTTGAGACAAAAGCCTTTCTTTGGAAATTAGACAAAGCTAATGGGAACACATAAATTTATCTTTTATTCGCTTTTGCTTCATGCAATAAAAAGTTGACTTAACCCAGTGTTAGTGTTCAAGATTCCAGAATTTATGCTTTACGAGAAATCAGTTGATACTTCTGAAAGGCATAAGTTGTATTATGTAATGAAGAAAGGCAGAAGTTTAAGTTGTTTTTTTTAATGATGAGTGTGGATCAAATGTAGCTAATGAGATGGACACTATACTAGTTCCATACTGAAAAGCAGGAGGAGTTGCGTTTTACATACGGGCTTTAGGGTCTTCTCAGTCAGCATCTGGGTAAGCTCTAAAATACAGGTGATGTCACCTCTTATCCAAATAATGGGTTCGATGATGGAATTCAGATCAGAAGTGCTGCGTTGGAGGAGAGTCCTTAATGAAGGGATGAAGCCAAGTCCGTCCTAAAGAGAACTTAAAAACTCAAGAGCAGGAGGAAAGACAAGCGCCAGCTCGTGCCAGTGTAATTACATGACATTCATCTTGCTTTCCCAGAACTCCATCCTTTTACTAAGTGCTTTGTGTGCTGTGCCGGACCCCCCGGTAAAGCTTTGCCAACGTTGTTGCATCCTCTTTGCTCGGCTGCACCTTGGGGGCTCCAACTGTCTCGCTCTCGTGGCCAAGCTTTCCCTCCGCCAGACGGATGTCAGAGATCCCCACGATGTCTCAGTGTACTTCTCTGACATTCCTTTTCCAGAGTGGGAGACGCAGCTGGAGTGATCCCAGAGTTGAGAGGGAGAACAACAGCTTTTTTTGCAGTTAATAAAAACCACCGAGTTTTCTTACCCTCATAGCAAGAGCTCAGTTTAGTCACAAGATTAACCGTTGTGGCAGAGCCATTTTGTTGAGTAAAATGGCAGTGATGGATTGCATGCGTGATTAAAACAGAAGAGCTTCTTCAAGCAGCTTTGCCAGTAAGCGTGTCGGGAGAGGGAGATGTTGTCATGAGAGAACGGGATGTTTTTCTGTACTGCAGTGGGTGAAGATGGTGTGAAGTGGAAAGAAAAACAAAGATGGTGTGAAGAGAACAGTGGTGTTCTTTCTGTGTTTGTACAGATTTACTAAAGTAAGGGATAGTTTTAATGGGCAACCATGAAAGTCTCTTCAGAGGTCTACCTCAGCAGTTGATCTTGGAGGAACAGAGAATAGTGGGAAAGCTGATGAAACGTCTCCCCAGAATTCCATCAAATACTGAATATTCTCCCTTAATCCAAAAATGAGAACATGAAAATGATTTCTAGCAAAGACTCTTGGTTCCTGTCTTTCACCACATGAGTAACATTATAGTGCACTTTAAAATTTTTTTGACATGGAATGAAGACTCGGTTGGTATCCAATTTATAAAAGGCACGTTGTGTCTTCTAATGGTTTTAAGTCCTCAAATGTAGGGATAATTTGAATGATTCTGGTGAGTATCAGGCAGTAAGAAAAGTATGCCAGAATTTTGAAGTCAAATCCTTTGCTCTTATACTGGAATTTTGATTTTTGTATTTTTTGTAAAACAATCTAAGAAACAACAGTGTTAAAACAAAGCCAGGACTTAATAAAGTAAAGCTGTAGTACAGCTTTTTTTTTCTTTTTGACTAGAACAGTGCCGTTCTTTTTGCGTTTATACTAATTTATAGAAGAAAGCTAGTTTTAACAGGTTAGATCAATGTAGCAGCACGTCTTTGTTTTTGCACCATAAAAATGTCCATTCAGTTTATTACATTGCTTTCTAAGAATTTGGGTTCATTTTATTATTTTAATTCTGTTTTAGTATTTTAAAAAATATATACTTAGAAATGAGCAATATTTAAAAGAAAAAAATGTAAATTCTATTTTGTGGCTTTCAAACCTGCACCATAAGGAATTCATAATTACTTTAATTTTTGGGTTATGAGATCATAAAATTCCTGTTTTGAAAGTCTGAGATGTCATACTTCATTTAGAGTAGAATGATACACTGAAATGATTTAGAATTTTTATTTTATCTTCATCTTTTTGTTTCTTATAAAATTAGCTGGCATTATCATTTTACATGTAGGAACCATCACATCTATTACGTTCTGCTCTTTGGGGCTGAATAATGGAGCATGACTTCCAGGTTTTAAGATGCTGAGGCAGGATTCTCTTGTGAAATTCTCACTATATCACTCACAGTGGTCTAGGGTGCTGCTGTGCTGTTATCATGTGTCTGTATCTCTGAAGGATGCGATTTAGCATAATTTAGGATTAGTTTTTCTGCCAGCTACTTTGTTAACTTTTTAAAATAACTAGTATTTGGCTTCTTATTGACATTTGATGGATGATGGAGGCTCACCTCCCTTTCATTACCCCTTTCCAGATGGCCTATGAAAGTATTTCATACATGGGAGTCTTGCCAAGCCCCCAGTTTTCACTGCTTTCAAATATGATTAAATCTTTCTCACTTTGGTCATCCAGATTTACTTTTCAAGCTTTCAAGAAGTTATTGTGGGGAAAAAAAAACTGTTCAGTACAGTAGAGGTAGGCTGATAATGTCTGTGACTACAGGGGTGGGGCATTGCCTTTTCGTCTGGTGACACTGTGGGTGTGGTTTCCAGAATGACCACTGCCATGTCCTTGCAGGACTTCCACCTGAACAGGGTGAACTTGGAGGAGTCCTCAGGGCCCGAGGCCTCCCCGTCAGGCGCTAGACCAAAGAAGAAAAACAAGAAAAGCTATGACCTGACTGCAGCTGACAGGTTCTGGCAGAAGCACAAGGGCAGGTGAGATTCATACATCAGCAGCTAGCCTTTCTTTCACTTTGGCATCCTGCGAGGATTACGAATATATAATCAATTCAGCCTCTGAATCAATTTATTTTTAATTGTCATTGGAAGAATCTGTTTGATGCATGCCACAGGAGTACTTTGCCAAGCCATTTGAACTGAGATTTCTCCTTTTAAGCCATGGTGTTGATTAGCATTTGGATACAATCCTAACCGTTTAGAGCCCCTATAATTTCATGCCCTTGATTAAGTTGTTGTCAGTAATACTAGATGCCTGCCAAGTCATTTGTTTACCTAACAGCGCAAGTCTGAGTTTCACATTGTTTTCATAGGCTCTTGTAGCGGCTTGTCAACAAGTTTCTGCTTTCTGGAAATTTGTCATATTCATCTCATTTTATCCCTGCAAAGCATATAAAAACCTTGGAATTTTTTAATCACTTTATTTCATTCATTGGCTAACCTTCATGGTCAAGGAATGTCTTGCATGACCGAGAAGGTGACTGATAAGGCCAATATGTGATCTGTACTCTCTCTTGCAAGCTCAGCAGGTCTCGTATTAAGAGATATCTGGCCTCCGGCCCTGCCCTGCCCTGCCCTGCGTGGTGAACCTTGCCTTCTCAATCAGACTTCTTTTGGTCTTAAAGCATTTTATTCCTTTCCAACTATTCTAATGGTGGATGGTCATAGCTTCAGTGTTTGTGGCGCCTGTTTGGAAGAGAACACTAATGCTGGTGTTCCTGTGCTCCCACTTGATACATTTGTTCCTCAAAGAGTGTTAGCATGTGAATCTAGACCTTCTAAGAGTCTCCTGTGTGTATTCTGAGTTTCACCCCCATACAGTATAGTTGGAATGACTGTATGGTAGGCAAATTAATTTGGTTTTTAGACATTGCAGTCCTTAAACACCTGCTTCCGTAGGTGACCAGGAGCTGCATTTGCAGAATTTAGGCAGCGCCGGATTTCTTGGTCAATATTAGTCTTCTGTGAGAGGTGACTTTCAAGGTACAGGAAGTCCTCTATATTCTTCAGGTACACATCATGAATCAGACCTGGCAGTGCTGTGGTCTGTGCATGTGGAGCTTGCTGATGAAGAATTTTGTTCTTCTGAGTGTTAAGTATAAGACTGATTCTCACATATGCCTTATCATCTTACTGGAATTCAGTGAGTGAAGCTGGGGTGGTTTCAGTTTTAGACACAAGTTATTAACAAATATGCACTCCAGGATCTTGTCTGCTATCAGATGGGGCATGATGTGCAGGAAATGTGAAAATAAAGCTTGGTGGCTCGTCCTTATTTGACTCCTGCTCAGACTTGGATGGAACCATTGGTGAGGAATGATAAGATAAGATCACTTTGTTGGCCAGATACAATTTACTTGTATTAGGAATTAGTCTTTTTCGCATACCCCAGCTTGCTCTCCATGAGGACATACAAAGAAACCTTCATTTTTATGAAGAAAATGGATACAGATGTTGCAGTTTTTATGTAAATAAGGGATGGAGATATAAGGTGATATAAAGTTAATGGTAATGTGTTTGCTCTTTCCTGCAGTCCTTTCCCAGAAGTAGCTGAATCCGTACAGCAAGAGCTGGACACCTACAGGGCCCAAGAAGATGAGGTCAAACGTCTTAAGAGCATCATGGTATGATGGTGGTTGCTGCAGAATGCAGTGTTCTTGAATTATTTAAGTAATAATGAAGTATAACATCATGAGATTATAAATTCGCTTTATAACTAGTATCCAATACAAATCTGCAATGTTATGTATTAGAAGAACCAGGCAAGTATATGGTGGCTTAATCACTTTAAGGGATTTGGAGCCCACTGTGCTCTGAGACAGACAAACTGGAGGACCAGGCTTTCTTTTTTGGCTAATGAAAAGCTCCGTCGTAGCTGCCCTCTGGATGATGGTTCACATTTATTTCAGCCAAAGGCCATTAAAGATTATACCAGTGATCTTTACGAGAATTAAAGCTGGGACAAACAAGAAAGACATTGAATCACTCGCACTTGACATCTCTGTTTTTGCTGTTGAGGAAAACTGGCTGTGCTTACAACTGATTATGGGTAATTAGAAGACCGTTTGTCTTGGTTTCATCACTAACAGTGCAACCTATCTGGAACAGTTACGCAACAAAAGCTTTATTCTGAAAGGGATTAATGTGGCTGCAATAAGCGAACTCATTATTTTAATACCTCAAGCATTTAAACCAGGTATTATAATTATTAGCATTTTCTGCCCATTGTCAGTGTTTGGAGCACAAACATCATCAATGTTTGTAGTTTCTTTATGTCCAATTTTTTAAAAACATGCATGAATTTTCCAGAAAGAAGAAAATATTGCATAGGTTAAAATGCAGAATGAAAAAACAGTATGTAATCATTATGTCATTAATACCCTCTATAGTCAAGGAAAATAACTAGTTCTTGTATCAGATCTTCAGAGTTTTCTTTTTAGATGTGCTGAAGAAAAGGCTGTTGATTAATTTTACTTGAACCAAAAGTAATGAACTACAGTAAGAAATAATATATAATAATAATGTAATAAATAATAACTAGAAGGCTAGCTTGTGAATGTAATTAGATTTCCATAAGCGTCCATCAGTCATCTTTGCAGTTGGCTACCAGTTAGGAGACAGGTTCTGACAGTAGAGAGGGTGGTTCACTGTGCTGTGATTCATTATTGGTCTGAATTGGCTGTGATTTTTTCTGGGAATAATGACCAGTTAATAAGGAATTTTGCTTTTCCACCAATATTAATTCAGCCCTTATTCTGCCTTGACCCCATATTTATAATGCTAATGGTAATGTTATTCTGTGGAACATGCATCTCTCCGTGACCTAAACATTCTGTAAAAGCTAGCCAATATTATCTATAACAGGAAGAAAGTTAATTGAAGAAAGTGTTCTCCTAATAAAATGTCAGCGTAAAATATTATGCAGAGGGTTTGGAGTTCTCTTAGGTTATTTGCCCTTTCTAGATTTTATTAATTGTAGATGATATTCTTTTTTCCTCAAGGGCTTAGAAGGAGAGGATGAAGGAGCAATAAGTATGCTGTCTGATAACACTGCGAAACTCACTTCTGCAGTTAGGTAAGATTCAGCTGCTCCACATCTGTATGACTGTTGTTAGCTTTAACAGTTTAGCTTTTTTTTTCGCAAAAGAGATCGAAGGAATTAAAATATTTTAATTTCATTTTCTGACTCCTCACATTTGCTTTCTCAATAGTTCGCTACCTGAGTTGTTGGAGAAAAAAAGACTGATCGATCTTCACACAAATGTTGCTACGGCTGTATTGGACAACATTAAGGTAAATAATTACAGCTTGTTGCTAGTATGAGCCAGCAGGGTCAAGCTCAAGTCTTGCATCATACAAGGGTGTTTTTAGCGATTCCATATTCACAACGGAATGTTTTATTTTCCACAATAGTGACTATGGATAAATATTCAAATTTAAAGTCCTTTGTAGGATTTTGAATCTTTTCAAGTTTTTTTGAGCTGCGGATACCTGAACAACTTTTAGAGAAGAACCAGACCAGTAATACATTTTAGTATGATTTTTAATGCCACATCACTCTACATGTTTGGTCAAGATCGTGGAACAGCGAACAGGAAATATCTGCTTGCCAAATGGCCTCTCCTTGGCAGCCATTTTTTTCTGTGCAGCACCTGCTGTTGGCTTCTACACAAAGACTGGGAGCTCATAGAAATGAAATTGGATTACACTGCTACTGAATGGGACTCTTGTCTGTTTGGAGTTCATCGTAACTACAGCACTAAGAACTGGAAATAGGGCCTCTGAGCGTCTGCTATAGACATACAATATTACCAGTGCAGTTTATATAAATCCTACAGGGGGGTTTAATAATATAAACTCTTGTATCATCCTAATAAAGGGCTTTTGTAAGACCAAGCCCCAGTGTGCTGTGCTGAACATATCAGATTTTCGCTTTTTTTGCAAGTTGTTCATATTTTCCACACTGGGTGCTGATCAGATTATGAAATAAATAGAATCTAAACTGCTGTCCCTAGTGCCATGCACAATATTTGAGAAACTCTGAGCTAACTGGAACAGTGTGTTCTGCGACATGGTTCAGGGTGAGGGCGTTGAGTTAAAGGACCAGAGCTGCTGAGCACATGGCCCGGCGCAGCGTGGCTGGAATCCGGGGAGAGGAAAAGCAGGCTGTCCGTATCCCTGCCAGCGCAGCTCACCTTCCACCACCTCCACGTCTCCCTGGGGAGACAGCTGCCATTCTGCGTGGGAAGCTCTTTTTCCTTATAGCTGATCTTTTTTTTTTCCCCTATCTGCGTTTTTTTTTGTCCTGAACACTGTTGCCAGCTTCCCCTTCCTCAGTGGGAATTTCCTGGAGATCTGTCCTGGTTTTCGTATGCAGCGCAAACACCATAATCCTGGTCGTATAGACGATACTGCTCTCTTCTTACTCTCCAAGGCATTATCGGTGGCGTTTAGTATTTTACTCGCTTATGCAGGTTTGCCTGCTGCTAGTGTTTGTCAAAGCCCCATCTCAACAGTGCTCTCATTTTTATTTCGGCTGCATGCTTGCAAGTTTCTTATTGCATTGGACCAGCTTGCAGGCATCTGCCTTTTGCCTGCAGCTTTGCCATATGCTTTCTCTTGCAGGCTGTTTGCAGACCGCCATTTGCTTTGTGATTCTCAGCTTTGTAAGGGGTGATGGGATGGCGCTGAGATTTTGGACCTTCTTGTTCAAACAGCCCAGTCAGTCCCTCTTCCTGATCGCTTACCATGAACTGTTGCTCCCGGTTGATCCACTTGATCCTGTTGACCTCCCCCATCATCTCTAATACCAGCTCTTACAGCCCTGTCTCCAACCGCCAATAAGGGTGATGGGTTTTCACACACTTTTTGTTCTGATAAGCTCTGTCTTCTCATTAAGGAGTGGATAGAGATAAATCCACTTTTCTCACTCTGCCATTTTGGTGTTCCTCTTTGGGACAAATGGTACCTCCCATAGAGCCTATTATCTTCAGGTGCCATTGTCATGTGTTTACGTTTGACGCTCTCGAGAGGAAGTTATGCAATACACTGTATGCTGCTGTCCCTGACAAGGGATCTGTTGGCGTCAGCATTAGCGTCCCCAGTCAGCTAGGTCTGTGTGCAGTGTTGGGATAAGTTACTTTTAAGAATGACACCATTACAGCGACAGTTACTCGTGTCAGGGATTACTTTTTTCAAATTAATAGGAACTGGAGGAAATTGCTTTTAAGAGGTAATGCATTATTTTACATAGCAACTATACACACACTAGATGGAATACTGTTGCAGGTGACTTTTTATATCCCTCCCCCGCAACGTATGTTTATAAACTAATCCTTTACACATGTAACTTGTAACTAGAATGTATTACTTTTTTAAAAGTAACTTTTCCAAACTCTGTGATGTTTCTTCTTTGTGACTGTTATTTCTAGACTGGTGTCTTCCCTCACATGTAAGGTTAATACTGTCTACTTATGGTTCCATGGCTGCTCTCCAGATATTTCTGTATCTGTCTCAAATGCGAGGAAACCAGAAATGAATCTCCTGCAGACGGACCTCGACACATTACTGGCACATAGGCAGCGTAAAGCAATCCTTTCTATTGTCATCTCCAAGCCCAAACTGGCAACTCGTGCTTCTCCAAACTATAAAACTTTCTTTATTGCATTTTTCTTTGTTTGGGTCTTCATCAGACCCTGCATATACGTGGGTTGGGCAGTGAGTGTTGAAATAGAAACACTCCAATTGCTTTGGAGCAGACAGTATAAAATGTCTGTCGTGCTGTGCTTTAATAAACTGAAAGGTGAAACCTTAATCAGTAAGAACATTGCAGTATACTGTATATGTAACTGATAAAGGCACTGTGAAAAATATACTATAAATGACAGATTGAACTGTGTGGTATAAAGTGTTTTTAGAATCAGAAAATGGTTATATGCAAGAGTATTATTACACAGTTTAATTTTAAATATTGTGTATTTCAGTTAACACTTTCTTTATTGTAGGTTTATTATCAGAGTGACAAACTAGTGTTATTTATTGATACCATATGATTTTGAGGTGGGGGAGAGACCACACACTTTGAATAATTTGTATTTGGAATTGGCAGGACTTTTTCTGTTTTCTTCGAGGCTGTCTGGTAAATAGATTAAATGAAATTAATTTGTTGTCCAAACGAGTGACCACTAGAGGGCGTTTAAAATAGCTGTTCCTGCTCGTTTATGGCAGTGAAAATGAGCAAGACCAGTGCTGTTCACTTCTGGTCCTATAGACCCACGGTGCTTGACTGGTTTTCATTCTTTCTAACTTGTCAGTTAATTAACTGAGCACTCACCCTAACTACCTTCTCCTTTTGCAGGCTTACAAACTATTGTAGAGGTCGAAATATGCCACCCATAAGTTTAGATAACGGTTTAATACAAATAACAGGGCTCTTCAGGCATGACAACCAGTCAGACAGTGGTTCTGCTAGACCAAGAACTAAAATGACTGAGCTAGAGCTCACCAGCCCAAAAAAAAAAACTCAGTATTAAACTGTATGCACAACATGCATAAAGAATGTTTCCCCTGTTTTTATTCTTAATGCAAACTCAGACATCAAATTAATATTAAAAAGACAAACGATTTCCCCATGGGATTTGCAGTTGTTTGGTATATTATGTACACACCAGGCTACATAGTTGCACACATGTTTTAATGATCGCTTAAATATACAAGTGTTTTTGATGTCCTTCCTGTGCTTTGAGTACCAGCAGCCAATTAAGCTGTATGGCTTCCAGATACATACCTGTAAAGATACCCCTGTATCTTTTATTGCTCAGCCTATCATAATGGACACATAATGACACTGGAGTTCTGGAATTTCTCAGAATGCTACTGTTGGTCTAATTACGTTGTTCCTAAAGATTGTATGTACAGTACACCTTGCAGTGTTTAAAACATATTAAGTTATGGGAGAAGGTGTCATTCTAGTCTGTCCTGGATGTTTTCTCTTAGTTATATTGAGAGGAGAGGTATACTGTTTTCTTTTCAGTGATTATGTGCATATATGTGTGCACATGCAGAATGAATTATCTTCCAAGTCTATGAAGAAATAATGTACTTACTGTATAACACACTGATCTCATTTATCCTAGATGCACACAAAGGCAGGCGCCTCAGCAGATAGGGTGACTATTTCCTTATGGTGAATTTTGTAAAGAATGAGACATCTGCCTTGTGTTTACTGAAGCATTGGGTAGCATTTTAGTACAATCTGTCATATTTAATGCTGAGATATTTGAAAAAGACTTGCATAAATAGCCCACTTTAATTTGGTTTCAGTGAGAGTGTTTATAATAAATTATGTCAAGACATGTTAGAGTTTGAGAAGAAAGAAACACTTGTTTGGAAAGAGCTCTTTCCCTTCGGTGGTCCCTCAGCTCTTTATTGAAGCCCCAAGAAACGACAGCTGAAAGTGCAGTACGCTGAAAGACGGTGTACCCATCTGATACAATCTAAAGATGGGAAGTAACCGGATTACATAAGAGAGACCCACGGCCATCCAGATGCACAAGTTATCCATTGCATTTAATTTGGAAAAAATGGTACATTCATGAATCTTGGCAGCATCTGTGCTACTGTGTTAAGGGTCACTTTAACATTTCTTTTATGGCAGTTCAGTTCCATGATCCTTCTTCTTATCTAGCATTTATTTGAAAATAAAGTCCTGCTTAACATGTACATAAACTCATAAAGGCAGGATTTATGATGGGAATGTTTAATATTATAATTATTTTGAATGGATCATTTACTGTAAGCCTCAGGATGTGACCTTAAGGCCTCCTTAATAACAATATGCATAATCAGTAAAATGCTCAGTTGTACACTTAAATAGACACACTGGCAAAAATTATTTGCTTGCTTTCTCTAATGTTTGCTCAACCACTGAATTGCAAATTGCACGACAGTCATAACCCTATGATGCATTTGATCCTTTAGGAAGAGCAGGTATGACATGGGAGTGTTTACATTTATAAAACATTTGAAAATGTCTTCCAGAACGCATGTATTTGGACAGTGATCAAATCTAATTTAAACATTTGGTTATTCAGATATGTGAAAGTTTTTCTACATTATATTGATATATTATATATGAAATGAACATTTTCATCCACTGATACAATCACTTTAGATCTTCCCCTGTTTCCTGCAAAAATCGCCTTCTCAGCTGTTGACTTCAGTGTGTTGCACTAATGTAACCACTGAGCTGTTTTCCAGTTTATTTATCAGAAGACTGCAAAAACCCTTAGGGGAGTGTTTTTGATCTGTGTCAAAGGGGATTCATTGCATTCATTATTTTTTCACCATGTGAGGGTTTGCAGCAGTTCAGGTAGTTCAGCCTAGCTGAGATGCATCAACAGCAGAAGGGTTGCTTACTCTTACCAGGTAATTGCCCCAGTAGTTTTCCCTTAAAGATTGAAATAGATTTAAAAAGTAATGCAACTAACAGATTCCAGCAAAACATTTTTATACAAAAAAATATTGCAGCCATTATATTTAAATACATAATGTTTTCATCATTTTAATTTGGCCATTTCCTGCCTCCCATCAATAACTGTCTTTTCTTCTTTGCAAAGTCATCTCTCTGCGTTAAGGTTGCAGTGTGTCTTTGTACACCTGTTGGTACAGTCCATGATGATCCTGGACTAAGTTGTAGGGATATTTTACAGTTTTCTACAGGGAATAACATGCAGGGAAGCATGCATTTCAAAATCATAATTTCCTTCCAAAAGCCATTTTCACCTGAGCACTGAAGCAGCGGTCGTCCTATTTCCTTATACACGTTTTTGATTTTTTTCTTCTCACTTCTCAAGATATAACATAAAAAGAGATCTCTCATCCCATTTGTCCTTATTTAAAATATAACAGTTGAGGATGCAGTGATATTTCTCTATATGCAGACCACCAGGAGCCCTGCCTTCATTGCTGTGCTATTTTCAGGTTTATTGTTTAGTGATAATGGAGCTGTTGTTCTGTTGTGAAGTGGAGGGTTTTGGAAACGTCTCTTCATAAACAGAACAGAGATCTCACTCTCCATGCCTGCTTTTTAGATTTCCTGCCTCACTGCTGTGCTTTGCCGCAAGAGCTCTTATTACTCTTATATCCCACTGCTCCTGAACACAGTCTCTTTTCTTAAAGGTTTTGCTTTGGCATTCCCTTCTATTTCAGAAATCCTCAAATTAATACTGCTCAATTTCATAGGGTTTGTTTTCTTCTGATTTACAATGCAACTATTTTTGATGCACAAGGAATTATGTTTTGTATCCTCCAGCCACTTTGATCTCCTGGCAAAGACGGTTTAAATAGCCTTTCTGAGAACCCTTGAAAGAGAATAATGTTGAATTGTTCTGATAGACACACTGATCAAAAGCTTTTGACAGTCAGAATCTGGTGGGAAGCATTCTGATACTGTAGCACCCAGCTGCAGTAAGGAATAAGAACAATATGTAAACATGAAAGCAGATGAATCTTTCATCTTCTGCGTTTGCGTTGTCATAACTTAATATCTCTCATGCAGTCATTCCTCCCATCGCATCCTTACGAGCTTCCTCAGCTTTGTCCAGATGACTGTTTAAGTCAATCAAACACCAAAATTTCAGTTAAAGGCACAGAAGACAGTTGTTTGGAGCAAATGATCAAGCGGATACCATGACAATAAGCTTTAAAGCACAAGCTGACACTTGTTTAAAATGTGTTGACTCTACATCGGTTGATCCACTCCTTATATTAAATCAGCACACACTGATAAATCTCATCTCATAAACACTTCCACAGCAACATCATTTCATATCAGAGAGTCTTTTTCAGGCTTATCCAGGGCTTATCTCTGTGCTCTGTGCTCTCTTTCTGGGATCACCATCTGCCTATAATCATCTGGGTTCTGCAGAGCCAAAACCTCTGGCAGAAGGTTATGTGGTGCCAGATGTGTCAGATGTTACCACTTCTCTTCACCTCCAACATGAAGCATGGACTATGGACCATGTATCTTTTTTTTTCTTGGTTTGCTTTGTTTTTTCCGTTTCCCTTTATTTGCAGATCGGCCAATGTTGAAATACAATGAAGTACAATGTTGAAAAATATTTTCTGTGGTGGTAGATTGTTTTTTGCTTCTTTGTTACAGTTGTTTCAGCTGCTGAAGTGGTATCTTGATACTGTTTATTTTGCAGACACGTAAGCTTGATGTGTATTTTGAGTATGAAGAGAAGCTCATGAGCAAATCCACCCTAGACAAGTCTCTGCTGGATATGATCAGTGATCCAGATGGTAGGTGTCGTCGGTTTTAATATGTAACCTTACACCCAGAACACTGAAGCTACTGTGCCACTTCCCCTACACGCTGGCCATTCAAATTCTGTTGACTATTTCAGATCAAATAGGGGCTATTTATATATCTGAGATGGAAATAATGAACAATAATGCTGTCATTTTTCTTATACTGTGTGATCCTTTAATATAAGGAGCATGTTAAGTTAATGTGTCCCACCTGCGTTGTGGTGTCAAATGAAATCCTGGAACGTTTTCTCTGAAGTCTAGGAGGATTTATGGCTTTGTGTGAATTGCATTTGGCTCCAAAGTCCTGGTGAATTCCAGCCAAAGTGTTTCCTTACTGGTCAATACGGGAGGGCGAAAGAAACTTTCTTTCATATCAAGAACTTGCACGAGCAGAAAGTGTTCAGATTTCTCACAGGACATGCCCATGGTAGTGGCAGTCTCCAGACAGTGTTTCCTGTCTGAAGAAACAGTAGCTGAATTTTATTAATTAGAGAGTCATAGACAGTTGGCGCTGTGGTACCACTCCACAGTCTGTCAACTGTGTTTTAATAATGTTTGCTTCCATAGTTACTGAAGTTTCAGAACAAACACAGAAAATATTTGCATGGCTGCCATAGTTAAGGTACTATTAATTCACTGTGTGTCTCTGAGGTATAAAAAAGTAGGTTATTTTATTGGGCCTTCATAGTTACAGGTGCTGTTTTACTGTTCTTAGTTTGAATACAGTGTGCCTAGGCTACTGAAGTTTCTAAGCAGATTCCGGAATTTACATAATTTTGCCATTTCCCCTAAGATGGAAGTAAAAATTAACTGATACTTCCCCAGGATTCAGAAGCTTTTAATCCTGGCTCTCTTTGAATTTTTGTCAAAATGTAGAGGGTAGTGCAATCTGAAAGCTTTAAAAAAAAATTTGAATACCACATTGCCTCGCTCAGCACTGAGGGATGTATTCCAGAAAAAGTAGCGCTGTGGGAATCGGCTCTATTAAAGGTATTTATAGCCTGGGTTTAACGGGAATCCATTCCCAGGAGCGCTATTTCTTACACATGAGCGACGTATGAAGGCTGGACTGGGGTATTGTTAATGGTGTTGCTGATATTTTTACCACAGAGGAGAATTTAAAATCCAAGGGGTTTATTTGAAAATGATTGTTCCAGAAGAAAAACATCAGATCTAGCAGCACACCGATTCATTCAGCCAGAGCTCGAGTGGATAAGTTCTCTGCTCCCGAGGCAGGAGGTTGGAAGGAGCTACACCTGCCAGGACGGGCCAGGCCCTGGCTCCTTCTGGGGGGCTGGGATGTTCTCAGATGAGCGATTACAAACCACGCCAGCTAAGTTGTAACCATGTGCATCGTGCCACACTCTTACTGGCCACACACTAATTTTTCCTTTGCATTTTGCCTTTAGCATGAGTAGCAGCAGGATAAGCAATTGCAGCCTTTGCTGAGTGTGTTCTGGGTGTTTCCACCCTGCCTGTGTGTGCGCCCCAGACAGGCACACATTCTTTTATACAAGTGTATATGGAGCCCTAAGATGAAGCAGCCCTAGGCAAGGCGTTATTGTATCAAGGCGTGTTTTCAACCCCCACAAGAGCAGAATTGAAATTCCAAGGACTGTAGTTTCTTATTTAATGAGCAAATACAAATATAAAGATATGTACTTGCTACTCATTATGTTTTTGAACAAAATTAACCATACTAATGTTCTTTTTTTTGTTTTTTTTTTTGGACCAGAGAAATCCTAAGTACTTTAATGGTACTAGTGTGGTACCTTAACTAGTGTGACTTTTTGAAAACTTCAATATGCATCATTGTCTAGATGTCAAAAAAGAGGTGTTGAGAGGTTTCACTGCCTATCTGCTGAAGGAGCATGCCTTCCTGGCTGGCATTTATTGCTGTTTTACTGATAATAGTGTTTAGTACCATTTTCCAAAAGATAGCCTGTAAAATGGTCTCTTCCTTATTGGACTGTATACTTTTACAAAAGAATGAAATGTAAAGTCTAACAGTGAATTTGCAAAGTCACAACACTTCTGATTTTTGCATCTATTGCATCTGCATCTATTTTCTGGTTTAGGCATTCTGAGATGAATTACATGTCATATATGTCTTGTAGAAAAAGAAGGGCATACAGTAGTGATCTCAGATTAGAGGTTTATCCTTTTTTCTGTTGGTTCTTGTGTCCCATCTGTGGATGAAACTGCGTTTGTGTGAAACATTGTTTTAGCAGCTTTGTTTTCCCTGTTAGCCATTCTTCTCTACAGAAACTTCCTCTCCACTGCCCACTGGACCACATTAGCAGCTGCAGAATGATTGTCAGTCAGTGTCCATTAAGCTCATTAAGATCCGTTCAGTAATTAGAGAAAACAGACTTTTAACCATGGCAATTACTGGTCTCTCTTGCAAAAAAATTCCCTCTTTCTCCCCTTAGGCCCCCATTATTTCAATCCCATTTCTCCATAAGGACGTGGGAAAGCAAGGGGATAGATTGTCATAAGTTCCTGTTTTCTATTGTGTTGCCATAGGAAAACAATCCATGGCTGGTTTAAATAGCAGGTGGGGAGGAGAAAGTATTTTGCTGGTGACAATGTTGTGATCTGGAACACTTAATACATATTCTGTGTTTTTGAAACAAGGCATTGCAAGCGCCTGTACACGGTAATCTAAACATATCATTGCTCAGGATAAGGACTCTTTAAAGGGTGTGTGCTTTGTCCTCCCACAGCTGGAACTCCTGAAGACAAAATGAGGCTTTTCCTGATCTACTACATCACATCCCAGCAGCCTCCCACAGAGGTACAACTTTTAAACCACTTACGCTCCTCAGTTGTTCAGTACAGGCACAGCAGGGGCAAGCGTCACCCCCAGATCTGCAGCGCAGCCCCCCGATAAGTGCTGGCTCGCCATTGTTGCCATCTGAACATTATCATGTTCATGGTGCGATTGAATAAACATCCTTATCCATTAATCTGTCTTGTGAAACGATTTTCCTCTACAATCTTCATTTCCAGTTTTCTTTGAAAAAAGTTACTGTTTTATTATTTTATTTTTAAATGATCTGACTGAAAGAGCATGCATAGCAACAATTTTGAAGCGCTTAACAATACTTTGATTGTTTTCTTTTTTTCTGATCTTTTCTGTGTTCATATGAAGGTGAATGTCCTGCAAATAAAGCACTCATATGGAGACTTTATTTAACAATTTGCAGTGAGTTCTAAGTAACAAATGTGCATGTAACTTAAAAGTTACAGTTACAGTTCTAACAATGTCTTCTCTTTCAGGAAATTTCTCATTAGGAAAAAATGAAGTAATAGATCCATATTAATTAAAACATTTTAATCACTTTGAAATGATGTACATCTTTTTGTAACATTACAGCAATAGTTGCAAAGAATAGAAAGAGACTTTTAGCATGTTCTCTTTCTTGATGGTGTAACTGTGGTACAGTTAAATTTAGTCATTTAGAGAACGTTTGGAAAAGAAACGGGCAGCTCTCAAAGACCATGAAGCAGGCGATTTATGCTGATCAGTCAGTTAGTGATTTGGGGGCCAGGACTGGAGACCCCAGCTGTAGAGTGTTATTTATTCTTCCCAGCAGTTTTCTTTTACATGTGCTGTGAGGGCTAGTGTCCTTGTGTTTTGTCTTTCTGCTGGGTAAAACGGCTCATAATGTAAAGTGATGTCTTGTTGATCGATACTGGGGCTGATTGTCTCTTTAGGTGGGTATCTGGCAACTGAAGTCAAGCAAGATCAAAGGAGAAATAATATGGAACATGTAAAATAATATCCTATTCCCTGTGTTGCACAAGAGCGATGGGCTGAACTCCTGAGAATGAGCCCTCTATTTGTTTTGTTGCAGTGAATTACTGCTTGCGATGCCAAATTTCTTTTCCATTCTGAGTTAGAAGAGCACATTTACACAGCACATTATGGAACATTTATTGTTGCTTCTTTGTAACTTTGTAATACTGCAAACTAAATGTGAATCAGTGAAAGAATGTGAACCCACCTCTAGTGTACCTGAACAGTTGCCTGTGCCTTTGAGTCTGTGGCCATGACTGAGTGGGTTTTTTGTAGACTGATCTGGAACAGTACAAGAGGGCTCTGACAGATGCTGGATGCAACCTTGCTCCACTAAACTACATCAAGCAGTGGAAGTAAGTTTGCTCAAACGGCTTTTTGTTTTCCGTTCTTCTCTCGTGTGTTTAGTTCCGTTTCCAGTGTGTGCGAGCGTTCTTGTTTTACTCTTCTGAATTGAGGTCTGAGCAATTTGTGCAAGTTGAAGTTGGTGAGACTGAGGTTCTGCAGTAGCGGTGCCTGTTCAGCCCCAGACATCACCTCCAGGTTCAGACATCCCCCTCCCCTCCCCGGGCATTTCCAGATCAGCTACACGCTATACTGTTGTAGCTTATGTGTGGCTCAGGTCCCTGAGCGAAATAAACAGGAATATTCCTGTACCTGCATTCTACAACTCCAGACCTTGTGGGACTAGTAACAGCTCTGTTTTCCGATTGTTTATCACTTCCCTTTTTCAAATTCAGAATTTGATTTCACTTTCTCGTATATAAAACAGGCACCCAGCATTCCAAAGCAATTAAGGCTGTGACTGGTTTACCTGAGGATTATTTTACAGTAGATTAAAAAATTGAAAGTTTAAAAATTGAAATAATTTCAACTAGATCTTTGCTGTTGTCATTTAGGTTTATATCATCTGCATGTTAACTAATATTCACTACTTAACTATTAAAACTAAGTGTATTTTCAGCTTTTATAACAGCATCAAAATGGTAATCCGTTTTACCATTAAATTAAGTGCTACATTTTTGTGAAAGGCAATCTACTTTTGTTAGAATTTCGATTATATACTGTATTAATATAAATAAGAACAGTATACAACAAATTACTACAAATAAAGACCGTATTCTGTTGAGCATCTGAACAGAAAGTTCTACTATGCAATGTTACACAACTATACTTTTCTTAGTCATTATACTCTGTTTTATGTTAGGCTAGCTCATAATTTCCCTTGGCTTTTCTTTGAATACTGATGATCATTAATGGCATCATTATAAGAACATGGGAACAGTTAAAACGGCCCAGCTTGCACATTTGGTATTTAGTAGCTAATTGATCCAAGGATGACATCCAGCCCTTTCTTTGAAAAAGCCAAGGTATGTTAAGCAGTAAGGTTTGGAACATTGTTCTATGTTTTATTGTGCATTCTGAAGAAATCTTCTGGGCTTTTAATTTTTAATAAGTGGATCAGGTCCCTTCTCAATCTTCTTTTTTCAAGACCAAGATGATTTGGTTCCTTCAGCCTGTCTGTGTAGGACATAAACCCCCAGAAGGTATCTGGTTGCTATTCTCTGGACACATTACAGATCTTTCTGTAATGTCTTTCTATAATGTGGTGACAATAATTGTACACCATATTCTAAATAAGGTCTTACAAGTGCATTATACTGTTTTATCATAGCATTTATTTTAAACACACTGAGGATATATACTCTTTTAAATATATATCCTAACATTTGGTTAACTTTTTATTGCTTACTGTGCCCAACATGTCCCATTTTGTATTTATAGTTTTATTTTGCTACCTGCATACATAACCATGCAGTTGTCTATGTGAAATCCCAACTACCAAGAGCTTGCTCAGTATTGAATTTGATCTAAATCATTTTGAATTTTATTTCCTAATTCTATAGTGTTTGGTAATTCTCCTAATTATCTGCCAACATGACAAAATATACCAAAATCTAGATCATTGATATAAATTGGGGAAAAGCAGTGGTCCTAGCACAGATCCCTGTGGTACTCCACCAATTGCATCTCCTTAATTTGATCATTCAGCCCTTTGTTGTAACTCTGTTTCAATTTAAACACGCATTATTATGAATTGCAATTCTGCAGACAATGCTTCTCCAATCCAACACTTTACTTATTTTGCGGAATATGCACAAAACATATTTGCTAGTTTTCACACTGTAATATTAACATTGATAGCACAATAAAATGCATCTTTTGAAAAGTTTTCAAATGTATTAAGTTATTGTAAGCACCAAATGTTAATAAGTCTATTTCTGTGGCTTTTCCCCAGAGCGTTTACCAAGATGGCTGCCACACCCGCTAGTTATGGGAACAGTGGAACTAAACCAATGGGGTAAGACATTGGCTTCACTCAGATCAGCGAGTAAGGCCAGTGCCATTAACGTCCTCCGAGTGCTCTGTCTGCTGCAAGCAATTAGGAGTCTCTTGCCTTATTTTTTCCACACAGCCAAAATCAATCGACTAATGGAATCAAACGTTTAGTAAGTTAGGACCTTGTTTTTTCTTAAACTCCTAAAACAATCATCCTACATTGGGAAGTAGTGGGCTTTGTTCCATGTTCCTGTGCAGCATTCTGTCCCAGAGCTTGAAAGCTCTGAAGGCATCCTGCCAGCAAAGTTCATACTGGTATAGTTTATAGAGACTTGTAGTTTATTAACTACTGTTATGGTTTATAGTTTTTTTTTTTCCAGTGTGTCTGAAATCTTATTTTTGAGAGACTCACAGCACAGCCTGTTCTTGGTATCAAATTCTTACCTGAAAACGTCCTGTTGACACTCTGGCTGCATGACTGTGCCAGCTGATCAGTATTTAAATATTAATCAATTCATGGCACCCTTTGTGTTGTTACAGGTGTTTTCATTCTAGTAGCATGAGTTTTACACACACTTCTCTCTCATCTAATTAAGCAGTTTTGTAGAACAGAGCCAATCAGTATTATTAACTCTCCTGTCTTTTTCTTAGCCTAATTTCAAGGGTAATGAATACAGGCTCCCAGTTCGTCATGGAAGGGGTGAAAAATTTAGTCCTGAAGCAGCATGTGAGTAGTGTCAGAGGAGCTGTATTTTTCCACCCACAGCAAATGAAGCTTTTACTTATTGCCGTAAAATTACAAGGAATGCATGGTGTCAAATCTGTTTTTGCTATACTGTGCTGATAGTTCCTAAATAATAATTTTGTTCTGGCGTCACTAACAGCCTCACAGGTCCTGGATCCTGAATTTCATTCTGACACTGTGTGGAGTTTGCATGCTCTGCCCATTCTGCTGTTGGGTTTTTCCAGGTGCTTCAGTTTCCTCCCCTATTCCAGTACCACACTGGCTGGGTGTATTGGTTGCTCCAACCCTGACCGGACATTAGCAGCCTTCAGACACTTTGTTGGTTTTGTTGCTTGTTTTGATCTGGTGTTTAGATGTTGGTGAAATAGACTGTGTGTGTGTGTAAGTGTTTTAAATTTGCAACAGGCAGCACAAGTTCACCCTGACAGTTTACCCTTATTGTTTTGCAGAACCTGCCAGTGGCTCGCATTCTGGATAACCTAATGGACATGAAATGCAATCCTGTAAGTTTCTGGAAGTTGTTGTGCACTGCCCTCCTGTGTGAAAGCAAGCCTTCTTTTGCACGTGTGCATAATATTGGATATTAATACGGCTCTTTTAGCAATTTGAATGAGAGAGTGATGCAAGATTTCCATGAATTAATTCGCAAAGCAGTAATTCTTCAATAAACTCTTCATTCAAAGAGTGAATCTTCCTATTCGTCAGTGCCGATCATGGCCTGCTAATGACTTTCTGTAACAAACCTAATTAAACATAATTAATGAAGTGGCAAATTCCTTATTATTCTAAATGTACTAGTTATCAGGGAAAGGCTATTCCATGTAATGTATAGAGCAGAAAAACCCCAAAAAGACGGTCAGTGAAGTCTAGGAGCTCATAGTATGGTACTGAAGCCATTTTTTCCTACAGGAGTGCCCAGTGAGACATGTCAGGAGCCGTGCTCAAAGCAGCAGAATCTTTCATTAGCAGTTGTTTGTTTATTTTACATTTTGAGCTTAGCAGATGTGTGGATGTGTTGTAATGGGTATTTTAACCTGGCTGCTGTGAAAAACAGAAAAAAAGTTGACATATTACTAAAAATCAAAAATCATTGTACTGGGAATTTAAAAATATTTCAAAGAAAAACTTTTTACTAGGTTGAGGCAGTTAGTAACCCCATTTAGTGAGTAAATGAAGACATTCAGCTTGTTATAATAAAAAAAATCATTTTGGTTATCTAGTGTTGATTTTTGTGCAAATAATTCAGTAGAAACATCGGGGCCTGTTCTTTTTTTGAAAAAGCAAAAACTGGTTAAAACTGCTTTTGAGATCAGAAGCTGGATATCCAGATGCCCCCAACGTAGGATAAAACAGCTTTCACTTGTAAACAAGCATAAGCAAATTAGAATGAGTAACAGATGGATACTTTATTGATCCCCTGAGGGAAATTGCAGATGTTATGAATTATAATGTGTTAATTAGTTTGGTTAAGGAACTCCATTTATTTGGAATTTTTTAAAGCTGCTATAAGTCGGATGTTTCACATGCTTTCGAAGGCTGTCTGCTGCATGCACCTTGGCGTTTTGAAAGGTCTGATTTTAGATCAGATCCTTTAAATGACAACACCCCTAGCCACCCCCCAGATTTTCTTTCTCCTTTATTGAGCTGGAATTCCAAAGCAGTAATGACTATTTCCTTGGCCAAGCAGTGTTCCCCTTAGATAAATAAGGATATCATTTTTCACAGTGATTTCTTTAACAGCCAAGCCTTTTTTCATCTCATACAAGGCTGCATTTTCCAAGTTTAGGTTTTAGCAGAAAAGAGCAGCTGTATTCTTTAGGCTTAATTTTATGTAGCACTTGTATACAAAGCGTCTTACATTGGTACCACTTTATACAGGTGGCATTTTACTGAAGCTGTGTGCGTGAAGTGCCTTGCTGAGGGCTATAACCTCACCTGGGGTTTGAACCCAGAACCTTCTAGTTACAAGATCAAAATCTTAACCACTGCTGCACCCTGCTGCTCTGCTTTTGTACTCGTCAGTGCATGTCAACTGATGTTATTTAACCACAAACAAGGTGGTCTGTCTGTGCAAAGGGGCTTCCTTCATTCACTTACCACCTGGGAGAGGGTTTAGAAATATAATGATGCACTCCTTTTTGGGGGAGGGAGGGCATATCCATGTGAACTGTGGCATTTCGATGAGTTATAACTGGAATTAGTGGGAAGTGGATGTTCATGAATCCCATGACCTACACAATGGTTAATCCAGTTTGTATCACAACACATGACAACTGTTTTATACAGGAGTTAAAAGTGTGGTCTTTGGAATGCTGGGTTGGACATTTAGCTAAGCACAAACAGCAGCCCAGATTCTTATTTACATCCTGTTTTTTGTGAACTGGTAGGAACTTAAAGCAGTTCACGTGAACCCAGGTTGTAAAATGTACTTGTACATAAACATATGCAAGCGTTTCAGCACAACTAATAAAGAAACCACATCAGGTCAGACTTAGTTGTTGTGGTAAGTGTTAAGTCATCGGTGTCTCTCAGCTGAAACAACATGATGTTTGTAACCTCAAAAAAAAAAACCTCAATCTAAGCGTTTCGGAAAACTGACACAGTTGTTGAATTCCCTCGCCGTGAAGTTTCCATTAAACCTTTCTTGAAAGAACATGCATCAGCCTTTAGTCTTTCAGAGTGAGAAAAATGGGAGCTGGAATGAGTTTTTCTAAGGGGAACTCTTATTTATTACCAGCATGGCGAGGCCGATGACGATTGGCAATGAGATTTAGACCTATGTGGAGAGCTCTGTGGACCCTTTTTGTGCATGTCTCTGGTGTGATTTGTGTGTCACCTGCAGAGACAGCCCTGCCAAAGACGTGTTGCTGAATGAATGCTGGCAATGCCCAGGTCCATGGTGATCAGATTCCTTATAAAAAGCAACATCAATCCATTATAGAAGTTGAAGATGCTTCTGAATTCTCTTTCTGTTTTTCTGTTTAATGAGGGGGGGGGACTGTTTTGGAGAGCATAGTGTGTGCTAAAATATCAAGTTTCTGACTGAAAATTATCCTAAAAGGTGAGTTAGCTGTAATGATGTTATCATTTTCTCAGCTTCTGAAATTACGGCTGCCTACACAATGCATGGATTGTTCGTCCAGGACGAGTAGAAAAAGCACAAATTCAGCAGCTTCCTAAATCCAGCGACCCTGCAGCTAAATGTGATCTGTCGTGTTTTGTACCAAAACAATGCCATTCTTCTCCCAGTTTAATAAAGCCAGCTCAGATTTTATATCAAAATCTGCGTTTCGACAGTTAATGCAGGTCTGCCTTTGTAAGCCGATAGCTAAAAAATCTGGAGCATTTCACAGTTGGAGTAGAGTGCAAGCTGCTCTTTCACCAGCCTGACTGGAAACTATTTCTTCTCATATGAAGGTATGCAAGTGGGGAGGACTGATTGTGGTCATGGGGTTTCCTGCTTCAGTTCATGGGGGTTAGGGAAATCTACCCTGGTCCTAGGAATTAGGGAGAGATTTCCATTAGCAGCTCCAAAATGTCAATGTATTTTGGATGTCAGCCAGTCCACCTGGGCCACCCCTGCTCTCAGGCAGTCTCTTCCTTGGTTTTGTTGTTGCGCAAAGTGTAATGGTGTTATCTAGTGCTTAGTTAGTATGAGACTCCATAACCTAATTATCCTAAATCCCATCTTTGTATTTCTCTGTTAATTGATGTAGCTATTATTTTCAGTGAGATTTTTTCAAATTAAATGGTTTTTATTTAATTTATTTTTACCTAAACTCTAAATCTTGTTATCTTACGTTTGTGCTGTTTTCGTAACACTGGTCATGCATATTTCACTGGTCATGCTACATAATTCTATAAAATAGACAGTAAATTCTGGTACTGCAAAGCTGTTATCTGCTAGTTTTTAAATTATCGAATTGTAGAATTATAAAAACACAGACCGTGTGACTTGTGATTGATATAGTATGTTAATTGATTCAATTGGTCAAGAGTGGCCAATGGTGGACTTAAAGAGGTACAGGCTGTTGGGGATTTTGATTGCAAATAGTCTCTCATACTTAACTGAGGAAATCAGATGCTTAAGGGGTCAAAATGAAATTAGACCACGTCTTTATAAAGTGTTCATTAAAAGAGCTGGCCTTCCCTAAACAAAAGTGTCATACTGTATATACAAAATCTAAAATATGAACTGTTTTTGATATGAACATTTTAACATGAGTTTAATATGAATAATATAAAAACGTCTTTATTTTCATGATAAAATGCAACTGTACCTTGTCGCACTGAAGGTTATTGTTGATAAAACTTTTTGAATTGCATTTTTGTACCCACTTGTGCTCAGTTATTCAAATTTATTTTCCAGCAAACTTCTAACTGTTTCACTGATGGCTGTACTTGATGATCCAGAATTGCAACATGTCTTGATATTCATTTTTCACAGTCTTCTGTCCTGTTCAGTAAAGAGTGCTGGAGGTGTATATCAGTGCTTTAAGTAAATCTACATAATATAAATAGTTCTTTATGTTTTCTAGTGTTTGCAGTTCTTAAACATATTTTTTCCCTGACAGGAAACAGATGACTACAGATATTTTGACCCAAAAATGCTGCGTGGCAGTGAAAGGTAAGAGATCATTGCTCTGCGAAGCCTTTGGCAGTACATAGCACAGGAGCTCTCTAAACTTAAAGTTCATACAAAAACGTCAAGCCCTTATTCAGACCATGATCCAAATTAAGATGATCATAAAAATATAACAGTTTTATTTTAAAAAAATTCTGATCAATAATTAAATATATAATTACATTAAAGAATCCTTGGTCAGCATGTATCCAATTCCAGATGACTTTGTGGTTTTAACAGTGGTGTTCCCAGCCCCAGCCCTGATGTCCTGCACGCCTGCTGGCTCTCATTTCACCTGAGCTCTCACAGTACATGATGTAACCTTTAATTGACATAGTAGGACATAGGATTAATTTGAAATCTTCCATTGTATTCAGTTATGTCGGAGCTCTTTATCTGCTGTGTATCATAAATAAATTAATAAATAAATAAATAGATGTCCAAACTTTGAGCATAATCAGTTTAAAATATTCAGTTAAGTAAAGAGCTGAGCTGTAATGAAAACCAACAAATCTGTTGGTAAGACATAATGTACTTTTCGTTCAGATTGTTTGGTTTTTTTTGTTTCCATCATATTGAAGATCTACCCTGTGCATAACAAGAAAATCGCCTCTTAATTTGTTGTCAAATCTTTGGATTGCAAGTAAATGCCAGCTCAGAAGTAAAATGACAGTCTGGCATTGTGACGTTAAATAAGATCTGTTTGCCTAATTCAGCGTTGCTTTTAATGGGTTTATGTATAACATACGGCATTATCTGTAAGTACATTTATCCACGTCTGTTATTTCAAAGCCGTGTCATGTTTGAAACTCATAAAAACCACATAATCTGAGTGTCACGTTTTTTTTCCCCATGAATCGAGATTCATGAAATAATATTTTTATGTAATTTAGCATCATCTGACTTCCCAAGTGCAGGGATTTACAAATGGGGCCTGTTCCCTGTGTGGTGGAATAGGTAATGAAAGAGAGATGTTTGCAAGGACATTGGTTTGGTTTGAAGAAGCTGGAGGAACTCGGGTTTGCAGCAGCACACCTTTGCAATCAAAGGTTGTTCCTGATGATTCCTTTAATTCAGAAAACACTTAATTGGCATTGGGCTTTGTAATGTGTGCCCTTCCCCTAGGAGAGCAAACGGAGCTCAAATGATTTAGAGACGTAACAGAACAGAATATAAGTAACTGCGTTTTTCTTGGAGAAAGAAGCGGTCCGGTGCTGGAAGGGATCTCCAGCCTCATTCACAAAACATTGCGCTGAATTACCCCTCAGATGCTCGTGTCGAAAGTCAGGTGCAGATTACATTCATTTCCATTTGTCGACACAGCTCCTGGCAGCTCTTACATACCGATCACATTTAAATGATCCCTCAAACGTCAGTGAAAACGTTCAGTTTTCAACACATCAATTATCCAAAATCATTATATGCGTGAAGCACCACAGTTGTAGCAGTTCTTGTTGGACTGGGTTGACCCCAGGAGATGTAAATTATTAGCCTTCCTTGGCTATTGTAACAGCTGTAAGCACACAATTAGCAGAATGGACATATGTCTTTACTGTTTAGTATTGCTTCTCTTTTAACTTGGTTGAAAATTGTTGAAAATTTGTCAGCCCCTGTATAGGTTTAAGTGTAGACAACTCAACTGAATGATATTTGATAGTGTTTGATGGAAAATGTTAACCATAAAATTATATGTTTCTTTACTAATATTAAAAACACTTACAGTCAGTGTCCAAAGTCATAATTCAATGATCCTGTACATCTCATTATATTCATTGAATTACAGTTCAGTGCAAAATAGCCATGGGAAAATTTATTTGTTTTTCTGATCAAGGTCGTATATAAGATTTTCTGGTTGATGATTAAAGTATTGCAATGTTTAAAGATACCCAAAGGAAATATTGTCAGGGCTTGTCATTAGGGAGAAACTGTTCCAAATAACCCATTGAAGCTACTGTGCCTTGACTGCTTCAGCTTAATTTATTGATCTGTTGACCACTGTTTATTGATCTACGTTTCATGTGCATTTTGTTTTTCAATACGTGTCACTGCTCTGGGAATGAGGCTTTGCAGCTACAAATTTTTCAGGATATGTTAAGCACAAATGAAACTTTTGTTAATTAAATCAGCTCTCAGACCTGTAGAATTTACAGACTTTATGAAGGATGTCTTCTCTGGACTATCTCGTACATGATTACCAGCATTCAAAGGATGGTATAGTGCTTGATGTCGAGGAGTAGCTAATTGAAACAGATGAAAGAATTACATATAACTGAAACTTAATCAATGAGCTTGAGTGATCTTGGACAGACAAACCTAATCTAGTTGGAGACTAGATTAAAATTCCAATAGAGCTGTGCTGTTACTGAGGGGAATTTAGCTCTTTAACTGCAAGTGCAAACCTGATTGTCTCTTTTGCAACCATTCATGGGGTCTATGTTGGGGGTGCTTCTAACTTCAGTCCAGTCAGATGCATACAGTTCATTTAACTGTGTCAGCACTAGAGTAAGACCAGACGAGTGAACATAAAAAGAAAATCATATGCCTGCACAGGATGTAGGATCATCAATCATAATCTCTGCAATAAGAATCCTTCAGCATCTGTTTTTATTTCTAGTTCAATCCCAAGAAACAAGAATCCATTCCAGGAGGTGAGTCAAACTAAGTGTTGTTTCCTGGTCAGATGCTGGTCTGTAAATCTCTCTCGCATCTCATTGAAAGACTGTTGTATTGAATCAATCTGTCCATCTTTCTCCATCATATATATATGTAGTGCATATTCGTAATGGCATCACAATTAAGATGATGATAATCTATAGGCTGCTGTTTTATCATGAGATTTTTATCTGGACCTCTATAAACCAGCTGAAATGGAAGAAAAATGTACTTAAAGCCCCCCTTTTCCCCATTCCCTTCTTTTTCTTCCTTCATTCATTTCCTGAACTCACTCAGATCCGTAGCTCTTGATTAATGCCCCTTGAAGGCTTGTGTTAAGTGAACTGCGTACATACTGTACATGCATGGTTTTTTAGTTCAGCATCCTAAAATCTGTGGCAAAGTATTTCAGGACAGTGACCTAGTGACGCCATCAAGCGCTGGTCATGGAGTGCCTAATCCTATAAGCAGCATTACGTTGATCCATGTTAGTGCTGAGCAGGTGGCACTGGGTCAGGACTCACTGCTCTTTGGCCTGCCTGATGTTTCCTGACTGAGCAGTGGCTTAGTTCCTGTGCCAGATCACTTCTCAGATCGCTCTTGATTGGCTTGTGGGTGTAAGCTATCTGCAGCCCTGTTCTTAAACACAGCAAAACGTTTATCGAGCGATTAGGACATACTTGTTTTTCTGAAAGATATTTTAAATACCTCATGTTTATGCATTTCTGACAGTATTATTGTATTTTTCTTGCATTCCTGTTCTGGGAGCAAGCTTATCATATTATTTAATTATCTGCTTATTAGTATCAAAAGAATGTTTTTAGTTTTTAAATTGTTAAAATTGTAAATCGGAGGAAGATTATCTATATATACAATGCAATGAAAATACCTTCCAATTTTCTTTTTTATTGAGTGCCATGTTGCTGTATTACAGTATTAAAACCATTTTTTTTCCAGGCAATTGTGTTTGTGGTCGGTGGAGGAAATTATATTGAATATCAAAATCTTGTTGACTATGCCAAGGTAAATGTTATTTTACAGAATTCACCATTCGAGTAATAACTGATTTGCATTGCACTGCAACAAGGGCAGCACAGAGGAGATAATGGCAGTATCTGAAATCCATTTAATAGGGGGCTGATATATACAGGAGATGCATTATGTCATGACTGAGCGATTTATGATTTCAGTTCGCATAACTTTTCTTAGTATTTTCTATTGATTTTAAGGTTGTTTTTTTAATTGTTTTTTTTTTAGAATCGTGAACAAAAACTGTAAATCTTGGATCATATTCGGCACAGGATCACAAACGACCAACCTGTAGATGCGAGATCAGCCATATTTCCTAAAATGCAAACATAAAGGTCACAAAAAAACAGGAGGCCATTCGGCCCGTCTAGCTCATTTGTTAATTCGTAGTTAATTGATCCAAGGATCTCATGCAGCCATTTATTGAAAGAAGCCGGGGTATTGATTTTAACAGCTTCAGGTACTTCATGCTCAGAAAGCTTGACGAAGAGCCCTCTTACTTTAAGGCCTTATGCTGTGGACCCTGTTTTCGCAGACTAAGCCAGGCAAACGTGTGATGTATGGCTGCAGCGAGCTCTTCAACGCCTCCCAGTTTCTTAAACAGGTAGGGCCACCTGCTAGAATCCCTGACCTTCATCGTGGAATCGGTCTATCATCACTGTGCAGAATGTACTGCTCTGCTGTATCTAATTTTGCTTTGGCTTCTCGATTTGCAGTTATCTCAACTTGGGCAGAAATAGGAACAGTATCTCGGCGCCTTTCCCAGTGTTCACTGAATTCTGAACACACCAGACTACTGTCAACATCATGCCACAGTATCCTAGAACTCCCCTGTAGGACCTGAGTTGATGGTATTCCTCTTATTTGATCATATTTAATAAACTTTGCTATTTTAAATGCTTTGCTTACTTCCATTTCTGTATACTGTACATGAAGCAATTAAAGTTTATTAACAGCCATACAAAGCTTTGCCTTCTAGTTTATTTTGTGTTTTTCCCCCCACACAGTATGTGGTTTGAGGAAGCCTTTCTCATTCCTGATGACAGGCTTGAAAAATCATGTTTACACTGTCTGGGCTTTCAGGTGTATGCCATTTTGACAGATACCTGGTTTAACTATATTATCTGTGGAAATATCTCCCTTTGTGTGGGACTTTCATTCCCAAACACATCATTTATTCAGAGAACTAGACTCCCAATCAGATCAGTATCTAGTCAGCCTGGGTTAACTGTCATTTGCTTGATGAAAATATGTCTTTGTAAAAAATGAGAACACTGCAGTTTACTTTGGCTGTCTTATCAAATTTGCATTTTATGCAAAATGCAAAAGAAAACAATTTCTCTTGAGATTTAACATGATTAGGTTTTTGTATTATAGTTTATTTTTATCAACTGAAAAGGCTTTTTTAGAAATTCAAAAGACAGTATGCTTCCACTGATCAGTGTCCTGAATATTACAGCAAAGAATCAGACCCGTTCAGGCGTTAACAGCTCAACAATGCAGATTTGGTCAGTCCCTGTCTCGGTGCCACTGAATGATAATTCACTGATTCACATACAGTAACCCCCTAATTTATTCATACCCATGAACTGTAACTTAAACTTAATTGTTTGCATAGCAAGGAGAGCTCAGGTATGAAATTTGTGAAATGGACATGAAATTCATCGATATGAAAAGGAGTCCTGAATATATCCATACCAAAACAGGATCAAACAAATATATTTCTACAGAATGTATATGGTGTGCATGTTTATTAATACCCTGAAAATATCTTGAAAATAAATGCTAAAAAGTAACCCTGTTTTTTTTCTGTATGTTTATCAGTTGCCTGGTAGTTTCACAAAGCCTCAGAGACTTTGTAAAGCTTATGAAGGTCACCTTGACTGCCACTGGGCATTGAAGGAGGAAAACCCCTTATACCATGTCATCAGGAGAACCTCTGATTCTTTTGCCCATCATACATTTTTATAACGTATATAACATTTTTGACAGATGTTCCATTATATATGACTTCAGTTTCATGCAAGTCTTTTATACTTTTTGATTTGTTTCTATCCAAAAATATTGAATGTACACCTGGGTGTACGTGCTGTAATAAAGGCTTGTTTACTCTCTAATGCTGACAAGTTTAAATAGGTTTTGGAACAGTATTTGTAGTTCAGCTCATTAAATCACTGTCACACCCGGATATTCGACCTAAATCAGTCTGTTCATCAAGTGTGAATATGTTAAGAATCTGTCGTAGTTCGCACTGAACTCAAAAAGTTTTTTTTTAATTTCTAAAGCTCATTATTCTAACACTATATTTTAATTAAAGTAGAAGATATTACCTTGAAATTTAGAATTCTAATTATCTGCAATAAATGAGTTGGATTATGCTGCATTAGAGAGCGCATATATTAGGTTTCCTGTCTGATATCTTGCCAAAACTGACAGATAATAAGTAAAAATATATAACTGCTGAAAGAAACTGTAATTCTATCTCACCAAATAACTGATTTTCATATGATAAGAAACAGAAGTCTGAATTTCATTGCATTTAGATGTGGGATATGGATAATCCTCTGGTTTGGCCTTTGACAGTGCTACGTTGTGATCAAGGAATTTAAAGTTGCCAGAGTTTTTTTTTTTTTTGTGTGCCCACACACTCTTGATGACAGGAGAATTACCATCTTTTAGTCTTATGTTTACATAAACAGAAACAAATCAAGCCCTGGCCTGGACTGCATTCAGATGGGAGTTCTCGAAACTCCTGCATGTTGGTGTTAGTGATGTGGTGGTCCAGTAGGTGGCAGCCTTCCATCTGGGCCAGCACTTCTGAACCTGGGTCTCAGTGTGGGGAGCTTCTGCAGGAGAGGATCGGAAGTCAAGGTCCTGACTACTTGGTCATTAAAGATCCCACAACATTGTTCATACACAGGAATGTTAACCTCTGTGTCCTGGCTAAAATCCACAATTTGTGCTTGCACAGCGCAGCCACTGAGTTCCCCCCTATGTCAGTTGGGGAAGTCATTTCTGATTTCATTTCCAGCACACAATGGCTTCCTCACATCACCCAGGTAGGTGCAGCACTTCAGGGGTTAATGAAGTCGATCAACTTCGGTGTGCATAACACTGCCCTAGGCTGGGACTGTTAGCCCTTCATCTGCTCGTCTATGGACAGCATGTTGCTCCATTGTACTTTTTGGACACTCAATCTGTATATACCTATGCACATTTTGCACATATTTTATTGCTTTTACAGTGACCATGATCATATTTTGCACACACCTATGTGTTTATTTTTATTTATTTTATATTTATTTTGTATTAGTGTACGTATTCAAAAATTGTTGTCTATCCTGATGTCTGTTTTTTTTTTGCTTGTCTTGGGCTGCTGTAACATCAATTTCCCTTCGGGATCAATAAAGTCTTATCTATCTAACTCTTATACTGTAAGTAAATTGCTTAGTAATGTTTAGGAATGAAAAGCACTTAAGAACAAAACATTTACTGTATATTCAAGAAAGTATTGTAATTAGGGGACTAAACTGCACGGGTTCTGGGTTATTAGATGGGTTATTAATTATTTGGCAGGACTCTAAAGTCATATGGACTACCTTGTCAGGGGAAAGTTACACCTGTTGATTACATGGATTGGTCACCATATTGGGTTTTTGACAAACTGACATTTTGACAATCGTTCTTCTCTCACACTCAGTGAGTACAGAAGTTTGAAAATTGGTGGTCTTTGTTACACCATATAAATATGTGAAACTCGGTGCACAATTCTACCTATCGTCTAAGATATAGACTCGTTCGGGACAGATAGATTTAGTGCCATATTGGATTTGTTGGAAAACAATTGGAAGATGTGTCTCCGAGAAAGCCCTTTGCTGTAGTGTTCCAAGTGCTCTGCAGCCCCTTGGGTAATTAAGCAATTAGGGACCAGCGCAGCATGAAGTCCTGTGAAGGAACCGAAGGCAGGTGTCATGGCTGACCCCCCCTTCTTTTCAAACCATAACCTCGTCTTTCTTCTTTCGCTCCTGTTCATGTGAGCTGTGCCCCCGTTTCATCTGGAGGGTCACACGGGTCCTCTCGCGCTCTGCCACTGGTCGGCACCGAGACAAAAAGAGGTCTGGAAATGACAACAGCCTTCAGTCTTTTTTCCTGCCTATGAACGTGTTGTTCATTGCTCCCAGACCGAGGCTTTACTTGAATACACAAAAAAAAAAAGTTATGTAGTGTCCGTTTTGCAGGACACTGTGAGATCCCTACTTTGGTGAAAATGTGGTTTTTTTTTCCCTTCATTATAGAGCACGGAAAAAATCAGGCTTGGTAACTAAGGTACTATTGTTGCTTTATTTCTTAAAGACGTATTCTCTTCGAAGCACATTTTTATAGGATAAACATCCAACGAGCTTCAACTTTTAGAGGATGGTCATGTAAGTTAAAGGGCGTTTGTTTTGGGGCAGATAAATCAGATTCATTTAGTCAGGGTGGTCTCGCGTCTGCTTGAGGTCTGGCAATGGCAGCTACAGTAAGCCACCAAAGGTCTGCTCCGAGGACAGTGTGGCAGACGTGATTCCCTGAAGGGTCACCGCGCTTCGCCAGCTGCCCACCACCATCTTGTGCGAAGGCGGCTGGCGGTCGTCACGTGTGGGCTCTTCACAAGATACCCCCGGTGGGCTCTGCACCTTGGAACCCGGGAGCGTCTGGCTCCGTAAGAGGATTGCTTCATGCTACCTATCACAGCATAAGTCCATAAACTGATTACAACGAGGGAACCAGCGGCATCCAAAATGCAATTGAAATCTAACAAGATTAAAGGTTGCGAGAAAATGCCTTGCATTTCGACTCGTCTCCCCCCC